AGCATAGCCATCATAGCTATTGTTAGCTGTGGGAGCGAGTTTCATAGTTAAACTATGTGCTGAGTGGAGAAGTACTTTCTTTTATACAATCATGGGAAGCCAGAATGACTTTGGTGGGGATTGGATGGGAGAGTTTTTGAGTGTTTTCTGCAAGACGTCCTTGATGCAATCATAGTGCAATAGTGGTAGATTTATACTGGCCTGTCCACACACCATTCCACTTTATTGGATATTCAGCAGTGTTTCCCCATTGTTATTGCATTATTGTTGCTTGGAGAGATAGACTCTTGCACTGTGGTGCCACAGAATAAGAAACTGTAGCATTTGTGGTATAAAAAGTAACAGGATTTCAGCAGGACATTACAGGACGTTCACAGAATGGAAATGAAGCAGTATGTCTGCTCTGAAACTTTTGCAGGCAGAAACAGCATTGAAAGTGGGATTGTATATAACTGCCCCAATACCACCATGAGCACAGATAATCATCATCGCAAAGGAAACTAAGCATCTAGAACAGGGGTCAGCAACCTTTTTTAGCTGTGGGCCAGTCCACCATCCCTCAGACCATGTGGTGGGCTGGACTATATTTTGAATAAAAATAATGAACAAATTCCTATGCCTCACAAATAACCCATAGATGCATTTTCAGTAAAAGGACACATTCTACTCATGTAAAAACAGACTGATTCCCGGATCGTCCACGGGCTGGATTGAGAAGGTGATTGGGCCGCATCCGGCCCATGGGCCTTAGGTTGCCTACCCCTGATCTAGAAGGTAGTGGCGGAAAAGATCTTCTTGGCTCATTTTTGCCACTGAAGCAACAACATAAACATAATGCTTGATGATGGATGCTTGTTTTTGTGGGTTGGAGACAGGGGAGAACCGAGGCTGAAACGGCCTTTTTGCACGGATTCCTGCGAAACCCACAGGGCTTCCTAAATTTAGCATTTCATAATCAGAGCTTTTAAAAAGGCTGAAGTTCACATCTTCCAAGCCAGACTGGAACATCAAGACAAACTGGAGTATCGCTCATACTGAACGCTGGCTGGCACCAAACCCGAAAGCTTCAAATGCGAATTGAAATGTAGATTCTGAACTTCAGCTTCCTTTATCTGAACATCTGAACAACTGAATATGAATGAGAATTTCGCCCCACGGCATCACATTAATGTGTCTTTCAAGAAGCTCCAGATGTTTTCATACTGTCATTGCTTGGTTATGTAATACAGCCTCCTGGAGCAGAGAGAATGGGACATATCCAAGATATGTTATGGATTGTCAGATTTATTTATTTTTTAAAAGTGGAGGATGCAGACACAGACAGAAGGATAGACAGAAAGAGAAGGAGAAAGAAGAATGTTTATGAGTGCTTGTTGCTGGAATTGCAACAGCAGAGATCGTCTCATGTGCAACTTAAGGGTTAATCTTGTTAGTGTTAAAGTCAACTAGCCAAGAGGGGATGGGTGGAGGTGTTGCTTAGCAACCATGCAGAGTGGCATGATGTTTGCTGAGGTAGTCTGTGCTCTGATTGGTTGTGTAGTTCTGAGGGAGTTTTCCCCTGTGAGTTTGATTGTATGTTTTCCTGATATGTACAAAACCTGAGCTAAGACAGACAAAAATCTCTCCGGTCCTTTCTCATCAAATTATACATTGTTTTTGTTAAGTTTCCTCAGTAAAGCATTAGTAGGATTAATTTCCTTGCTGGATTCCATCTGCACTATTTCAGTGACTTTGCTAACACCGTTAAGTAGAGGCTTCTAAAGAAAACAGAATAATGGATTAGAGAGATGTTGTTGTGATCTAGCAAGTACTTATGAGATACAGAAAGAGAAAGGTGGTCAAGTGAGAAGGCAGGACAAACAGAGGGGGAAAAATCAGCAATGTTAACAGAAAATGGAAGGGGTAGTATTTTCCTCAGGGCTATATTAATATTAAGGGAAACTGAAAATATTTAAGTAAATGAGAATCTTTTACCAAAAATCCAACATTATTTGGGAAAAACCAGTTACACAGATTTGACCAGTATCAACTTTATACCCATAATTTCACCTTCCTGCACATATGTAGGAGACATAATGCTTATAGAGAGTAACTCGTATTACAAGGGGGAAAACACAGTTACCGTAGTTATGCATTGTTTCTGTTTCTGTTTCAATTTCTTATAGACTTTGGTTTCAATTTCTTGGAATCTCTCTCTCTCTCTCTCTCTCTCTCTCTCCACTTCTAAAGGGACCCCTGACCATTAGGTCCAGTCGTGACCAACTCTGGGGTTGCGGCGCTCATCTCGCTTTATTGGCCGAGGGAGCCAGTTAAGCTTCCGGGTCATGTGGCTAGCATGACTAAGCCACTTCTGGCGAACCAGAGCAGCGCACGGAAACGCCGTTTACCTTCCCTCCGGAGTGGTACCTATTTATCTACTTGCACTTTGACATGCTTTCGAACTGCTAGGTTGGCAGGAGCAGGGACCGAACAACAGGAGCTCATCCCATCACGGGGATTCAAACCGCCGACCTTCTGATCGGCAAGTCCTAGGTTCTGTGGTTTAACCCACAGTGCCACCCATGTCCCAATTTTGAATAATAATTTTGAATAATTTTAAAAGATTGATAATTTTTGTACAATATCTTTGAGTCTTGGGAAGGAAGAGGCAGATTTTCTGTTTCATGCTGTCATTTCCCTTCAGACTGTAAAAGAAATGTAGGCATTCAGAGAGTTAGTATGGCAGAGATCTTCACTGCATGAATAACTTCCACTCCCTGACTTGTAAAAAGCCCCACCAAAAGTGTCTCTAGTGCAGAAGCATTCAGCAAAAATACCAATGACTTGTTTTCCAGCTTTTTCTCTGCAAATATGAGGACAAGAGATCTGTTTTAAACACTGTGGGAGGATAGAGTCTTAGGATTGTGCAAGTCGACAGCTACTAGGATATAAATGTGAAGGCAGGTATGCTATGACTAGCTGCCTCTGAACACCCCATTCTTTTGTCAAAGTAAGCCTTGGCTATGGGGAGGTCAGATCTGGCTTAGGTCCAGGAAACACCAAGGCAGCTGGCAAGCAGGTAGGCAAAATGAACTCTAGGACATAGCAAGGGCAATAGTCTAATGTAGAAGTGCAGAATCTGCAGTCCTCCAGATGTTGTCAGGCGCCAGATCCCATCAGATCCAGCCAGCATTACAGCTGATCAGGAATGCTGGGAACTGTAGTCCAGTAATATTTGAAAGGTGGCCTGATGATCATCTTCCAAAGCAGCTACTCCAAACTTCAAAATGGAAAGCGTAATGGTGGTGGTCAACAAAAGAGGTTCAAAGACTGTCTCAAGGCAAATCTTTAAAAATGTAGTATAAACACCGACAACTGGGAAACACTGGCCTGTGAGTGCTCTAGTTGGAGAACAGCCTTTACCAAAGGTGTCATGGTTTTGGGAGATGCTCAAACTCAGGATGCAAGGGAGAAACGTGCTAAGAGGAAGGCACGCTTGGCAAATCCACACCGTGATCATCTCCCCACTGTCCCCACTGTGGAAGGATGTGTGAATCCAGAATTGGCCTCCATAGTCACTTACAGACTCATTGTTAAAACTGTGTTTATGGAAGACAATCTTACTCAGCTACGAGTGATTGCCAAAGAAGAAAAAGAAGTTAGGGGAAAGGTTTCTTTGTGATGTCCAATAATATGCTCCATTATGAAACTCTTCCCCACCCAGCGAGGAACCTCTTCCTGCTTCCTTTCCATGGGATGCTTGGGATTTGGCCATCCTTCTAGGGACAAGTACCTGAAAGATTTTGGCCTTGTATCCGTGGTTTGATTTGCTTTTCTGCTTGTTCCAAGGTGAAGCAAAGTGGGGTTGACTGAGAAGTGTTATGACAGCCATCTTCCTATATCCCAAGGGCTGTCACATGGAAGATGATGCAAGCTTGCTTTCTGCTGCTCCAGAGAATAGGACCAAAACCAACAGATCCAAATTACAGTTGTATCTTGGTTGTTGAACACCTTGGTACTCGTCTGTTTTGGCTCCTGAATGCCGCAAACCCAGAAGTGAGTGTTCTGGTTTGAGAACGTTCTTTTGGAATGTAAACGTCCAACATGGCTTATACGGCTTCCGATTGGCTGCAGGGAGCTCCTGCAGCCAATGAGAAGCAGCGCCTTGGTTTTTGATTGTTTTTGGAAGTTGAAAGGACTTCTGGAACAGATTCCGTTAGACAACCAAGGTACAGCTGTACAAGGAAGGCGATTCCAACGAAACATTAGGAAAAACTTCTTGGCAGTAAGAGCTGTTTGACAGTGGAACAGAAGGTGGTGGACTCTCCTTCTTTGGAAGTTTTTAAACAGAGATTTAAAAGAATCTGTGAGGGGTTCTTTAGCTTTGATTTGTGCATTGCAAGGTGTCAGACTAGATAACCCTTAAGAGTCCTTTCCAACTCCACAATTCTATGCTTCTATGACGAGGAAAGCCCCCACATTCAACTTTGTGTCTTTGCTGCTAGTTAAAGAAAAGCCCAATGCTCATTAAGTCAAAATAAAATTAAAATGAAATCAAAATAAAATATCTCTAATGACAGCAGAAGGTTGCTTTGTTGCAATGGGCTGTAATTATTTGTTCTCCACTCATATTTTAGGGCTGTTTTATTTGATGATGCTCTCCGGTGAAGTGTTCAGTATGGGGCAAAGCCTGATGATTCACAGGACATTGCTGCAGATGATATTTTTGGAAGCAAGGTGCTGACGCCATGAAATGCCTCCCTCATGCAACTCAGATTTCCACAAGCAAGTTTGCCCCAGGGACATTTTTTTCTTGGTAGAGGCAGCCAGGTGAGCCAGCCCCATGGAAGAAGAAGAGCAGGAAGACAAAGCAACACCCTCACGGCTACACCCACGCCGTGGAAGGTATAAATAGAGACCTGTGTGGATGCCAGAATCTGCAGTCTTGTCTTCTGTATTGAGCTTTTGTGTCTTTGGGGCTTCTGCTTAGTCTTTGGGCTTCTTTCTGAAGGTCTTTCGCGATGAGCTGCAGCACCAAACAGGCATCCACCATGTACACGAGAGGCAGAAGCAGCAGTGGGAGCTGCGGTGGAATCCGGGTTTCTTCGGGAGTCTCTGGGAGGTGTGCTGCCCCTGCCGTAGGTAGCGTTAGATGTGATATGTCTGGGAGGAGCTTCTGCAGCGGAGTGAGTTTCGGAGGGGGCCTGAGTGGAGGCAGTTGCATCGATGGTGGCTTTGGTGGCGGGTACGTGTGTGCTCCTGGTGGCGGCGGCGCCCGCTTGGGTGGCTTTGGCATTTGCAATGATGTGCCCTTGATCTCCTGCGATGAGAAGATGACCATGCAGAACCTCAACGACCGCTTGGCCTCTTACTTGGACAAAGTGCGGTGCCTGGAGGAGGAGAACGCTCAGCTCGACTGCAAAATTAGGGAGTGGTATGACCGCCAAGGTGCCCTCTGTGACCCCAAGGACTACAGCTGTTACTACCAACAAATTGAAGACCTTAAAAACCAGGTAGGACTATGCTTCCTCTGCAGCTTAGAACCAGATGTAGCATCAAGCTAAGCGAGATAGAGAGATGGCTCCTTGCTCTGACAACAGAGCACTCATTCGTTATTATTTACGGCAACAGATCTTTCCGATTTGGCTTACGAAGAATGTCAAAAAATAAAATAAAATTCATTCTCCGAGGATTCTTGTCAAATCCCTTGATGTTCGGAACTTTATGCTGTTGGATGAATGATGGAGTTTCTGGTTGCGCTTTAAAAACCATGCTTTAGATAGCACCCCAGAATGATTAGAGGCCGTATCATTAGATTATTGTATTCCTTTGTGGGGAGAACATCTTAGATTTTTTTGAAAACGCTATTGTCTAAAACAATTAAAAGAAAGGAGAAGAAAAGAAATGGCAGCAGCTTATTTGCTGTAAATATGGCTATATTTACAAATGTATAGATCACAAACACATCAATAAAACAAATCAAGAGTGGTATCATGGCCCTCAGTGGTGCTTCTGCTGCTGTAGTGGTAAAACTGATAGGAAAAAAGGATGTGAGGATGGAATGAGACTTAAGGATATCTTGACACAGAGATGTGGGGTAATAGGTTGTCCAGATTTAGCCAGACATTGACCCCATCTGTGTGATACATTCAAAGCAGCATCATAGCACTTCACACAGTCATGATTCCCCCCCAAAGAATCTTGGGAACTGTAGTTTGTTAAGGGAGCTCAGAGCTGTTAGGAGACCTCTATTCCACTTACAGAGTTATAGTTTACAGAATGGTTTAAAAGTCAATACTCCTTCCCAGAGAACTCAGGGAATTGTAGCTGTGTGAGGGAAATAAGGGTCTCCTTACAAATCTCTGCACCCTTAACAAGCTACATTTCCCAAGATTGTTTGGGGGAAGTGTGATAACGCTTTAAATGTAATAGTGCAGATGGAGCTGTTCATCGATGCAGAGAATTACAGGATGGAAGAAGCCCAAATTCAGTTGGTCCAATACAATCCTTCTGGTTTCGGGATGACCCTGTAAATGAATCATAGGCTTTGAGACAGTATAATGAAAAATCAAAAACTGCAGCTTGATGCATGATGCTGTGGGCATCAAGAAGAAACAGATGGACAAGCTCAAACTGTTTTATCCCCCAACCCACAGATTATCTGTGCCACTGTGGACAACAGCAAGCTTGTTCTGGATATTGATAATAACCGGATGACTGCAGATGACTTCAGACTGAAGTGAGTCCTTCTTGAGTTGTATGAGGGGCTCTGGGTGTGTGGGGTGAACCCTTAATTTTGTTCCCCTTAAATCCTAAATATGTGGTCTCCAAAGGGCCCATAATGAGTCAGCAGTGATGAGCTGTATACAGAAGGGTGAGAGCTTCCTTTGTATATAAAGAAAGCCCTGGCAGAAATATATAACACACACACTTTCTCTCTTTATTGGCCCCTGTAGGGACCAACAATTTATCCTTTCCCCTCTTTTTTTGGTTCTGTAGGTATGAGACTGAGCTGGCCCTCTGCCAAAATGTGGAAGCTGACATCAATGGTTTACGCCAAGTCCTGGATCAACTGACCCTTTGCAGGTCTGACTTGGAGGCTCAACTGGAAGCCCTCAGAGAAGAGCTGTGTTGCCTCAAGAAAAACCACGAAGAGGTGAACCTTGATCCCCACCAGCCCCTTACAAAGAGATGGAAGGCCTACAAAGGAAGGGTATCCCCCTCCCACAGTCAGCTCCTGACACTGGGAAGCACATTGAACAACCCACAACAAAAAAGCCACATTCCAATTAACTGGAATTTCCTTTTCAGGAAATCAAGGGTCTGAGGAACCAAGCAACTGGGGACGTGAGTGTGGAAGTCAACTCCTGCCCAGGCCCAGACCTGAAGAAGGTCTTGGAAGAAATGAGATGCCAGTATGAAACTATGATTGAGAACAACCGCAGAGAAGTTGAACAGTGGTATGAATGTAAGGTAGGTTAATATACTGTACGCAGCCAGGTATTGAAAGAAAAGAAGCTTGAAATCATCCATGCATATTTGGTAGGGGTTAGTAGCAGGCAGCTCTGAGCCAGATCTCGCCCTTTAGGGGGAGCTGGTTTTGAACCTCTCTCCCTTCTATGTTATGTGAAATTACTCCAAAGATAAGGGGCTGGTGGTAGGAGAATAAGCAAGGAAAGACACGCCTTCTCTCCTCCTGAGATTCTCCTCAGCCCCTGGTTTGTCCCAACACCCTCCCCCTCAGAAGGCTCATCCAGCAAAATTAAGTCTATTGGCGAGAGAAAGTAGTTTACCTTGTATAGTAAGTCCCATGATTGATTCATGGAGGTTAAGACTGCCAATAGCTACCAATAGCTACTAACCACAATGACTGCTCTCCCTTCGCTGTTGCCAAATACCAGTTGCGTGGAATTGCAGGTGGGGAGACATTGTTGCGTTCTAGTTTTGCTTGTGGGCTTCCCATAGGCAACTGGTTGGCCAGAAAGGGATGCTGAATTTGATGGGTAATAATAATAATAATAATTATAATAATAATAATTTATTTATACCCCGCCCATCTGGCTGGGTTTCCACAGCCACTCTGGGCGGCTTCCAACAGAATATTAAAATACAATAGTCTAATAAACATTAAAAGCTTTCCTAAACAGGGCTGCCTTCAGATGTCTTCTAAAAGTCTGGTAGTTGTTTTTCTCTTTGACATCTGGTGGGAGGGCGTTCCACAGGGCGGGTGCCACTACTGAGAAGGCCCTCTGCCTGGTTCCCTGTAACTTGGCTTCTCGCAGCGAGGGAACCGCCAGAAGGCCCTCGTCACTAGACCTCAGTGTCTGGGCATTTGGCCTGATTCAGCAGGGCTTACTTAAGTTCTTATTTATTTGCAGGGTTGTTGTTGTTTTGCAGGGTGAACTCAGAGTTCTTTGTGAAACTGCTATGGGTCTGGCAAGGCTTTGCTTCAAGCCAACAGCTCTTCTGCTGAGCTATGGTCCCTCATTTGGGTTTTGGTACCCAAGTAGGAAGCACTAGTGAAGGCCCATCTACAACACAGTATCTACCGTGTTTAGGAAGGATGAATTCAAGGTGGAAGTGGTGAACTGAAGAACAAATATAGCGATCTTGCCTTTGGGCAAGATTAAAAGATCTTGGCTTCATCAGGTTAGGAAAGAAGAATGCTGAGAAAAGGCTGTACAAATAGAGGTAGCTCAGTTTAAAGAGAAGTATTTGGTTTAGTGAATATCATGAACCAATGGCCACAAGTGATCCTTCAAGGAAGGGCAACTGAAAAGCAGAAGAAGGCAGTTAACTCACCCAGAGTGGCGGGGACAACCCAGCCAGATGGATGGGGTACAATTAATAATAATAATAATAATAATAATAATAATAATAATTTGCAGACAAACTTTGGAATCAACCTCATGAAAGAGTTTTTTTTATCTTCATGGCATATCTTTAACCTATACCCAAATTTACTATATCCAACCAATTGGTCCTTGATTAATCTTTTTAGTGGATCTTTTGACATCCCCACCATCCTTACCTTCATCGTTTGCGGTTGTCATTCTTATAGCCTTTTGCTTGGCTGAAACTCATCATGAAATCAACTCAACAATTCCCTCAATAAGCCCTAAACCCCACCACCCCAATTCTGTGTTTGCTGCCTTTTCAGATGGAGGAAGTGAATCAGGAAGTCTGTAACAGCAGCAAAGAGGTTGAAGACTGCAACAACCAAGTTGTTGACCTGAAGCGCCAGCTGCAGACCTTGGAAATTGATCTGCAGGCTCAGCTTAGCCTGGTAAGTTTTTATGCTGGCAATCCTCCACCTTGGATCCAATAAATGTTACCTTTGTATCTGCTTCCCAAAACTGTCTGAATTAGTCTCGCTAACAATGCCACCTGTGCAATAGGTATATATTACTGTCCTAAAGTAATACTATCAGTAGCTGCTCAACAGCTATGGGAATCTGGAATGTTGTAGATTTGAGGCAGACACATACACCAGCTTAGTGTAAACAGGGGGCTCCATATACTTTCAGCTGTCTAGACAATTCCACATTCAGGCCCCTCTTGCATGGGGACAACTGTAACCAGCAGGTGACTTCTGACAGCATTAAGAGGGAAAGTGGGGACCTGTAGGAAGAAAAGAGGCTGAGCCAAAAACAATCCACAGTGAGGCAGGAGTTGTGGCGAAAGCAGGAAGGAAAAGGAAAAGGAGACATAATCTGTGGAATTGCCTGTAATTATTGCTAAAGTACCACAAACTATTTTAGAGAGTGTTCCCTCACACACAAAAATGCGCATGCATTATGAGCAACTGGCAAAGTTTAATCCCCAGTAAATGATATTCTCCATCCACTCAACAAGTTCTCTTCTTTCCACAATAGCTCGTAGGATATTTTGGGCTCTCTCTCTCTCTCTCCCTCCCTCCTCTCTCCTCCCCCCTTAAACTTATTTGTGCTAAAAGTTTTGCCAATGTGTTTTTTAATTCTTCAGAGGGACACGCTGCAAGGATCCCTGGCCGAGACCGAGTGTCGATATAACAGCCACTTGTGCGAAATACAGAACCAGATCTCTTGCGTGGAGCAGCAGCTGGCAGAGTTGAGGGCAGAGATGGAATGCCAGAACCGAGAATACAGGGACCTCCTGGATGTCAAATGCCGCCTGGAACAGGAGATCCAGACCTACCGCTGCCTGCTAGAGGGAGGCCAGAATGACATTGTGTAGGTATACCGTCAAGTTCTCGGGTTTCCCCTGTGCTTCCCCTACCGTTCATGAGTGACTAGGGAGAAACCCCATGGAACAGATGTGCTTAGAACCTAAATGAATACTGGCAAATTTTTAATTCTTAAGAAAAGCCCTTCTGGATGAAACCAAAGGCTGTTCAGACCAGCATCCTGTTCTCACAGTGGCCAACCAGATGTTTACTGGAAAGCTCACAAGCAGGACCGGAGTGCAAAAGCACACTCCTCACTATTGATTTCCAGAAATTGTGGCCAGAGCAGTGTGTGGCTTAACCACCTCCAGTGGGGCTGATGTATTGATGACCCTACTTTGCATGAGAGGCCTCTTGATCCCTAGTTTTCATATATATATTTATTATATTTATATCCTGCCTTCCCACAGGAAGCACAAGCTGGTGTCCATAGTTCTCCCTTTTCCCATTCTGTCCTCACAACAACCCTGTGAGGTAGGTTAGGCTAAGAGAAGGTGACTGGCCCAAGGTCATCTAGCAAACCTCAGCAGGGATTTGAACTCGGGTCTCCCAAGTCCTGATCTGGAGTGTGCATCCAATCCAAATCAGGGTCCAGCACCAGTATCCTGCCAGCCCTGTCCCCGATTGCTGTTTCCCTCCTTCCCCACTGCCAAATATGCTGTTTATATTGGTATAGACAACAGAAAAAAAGCGTCTGCTTAGAAGAAGTAGTTCAGCCTCGGATGACTATGTCCTCTAAGCCATTACTTACAAAAACAAAACAAAACAAAAAAACATTTTGGCTTAGGGAAGCACAAAACAAGGGACCCCTGACCATTAGGTCCAGTCATGACCGACTCTGGGGTTGTGGCGCTCATCTCGCTTTATTGGCCGAGGGAGCCGGCGTTTGTCCGCAGACAGCTTCCGGGTCATGTGGCCAGCATGACTAAGCCGCTTCTGGCAAACCAGAGCAGTGCACGGAAACGCCATTTACCTTCCCGCCGGAGCGGTACCTATTTATCTACTTGAAGTCGAACGGACGTCAGGAACGGGTTCTGTTCGACCTCCAAGGTACGACTGTAGTTGTCTCCTCGAAACATCCCCTCATCCCCTCACTCCAGCCCTGGGTGCATGGCATAAAATTGCAAGCATCATTAGCTTCCAGTGCTGTTCACCTACTTTTGATCTCATCCAACGACCCTCTTCCCCTCTATGCACCAGGGGTTCGAGCAGTGGCGGTTCAGGAGGCGGAGCCTGCAGGCAGTCAGGAGGAGGTGTGACTAGAAGTTCCCACACGTACATGGCCTCCTCTTCCCAGTGCCAGCCTTGCCAGCCTGATGTCAAAGGTAAGTGGGGAACGATGGCGTCTCCTACATTCACCAAGTATTGAAACTTTACAGGTATTCAAGAAGGAACAGACTCTTTCATATGTGGTGGTCCTGTAAAAGGGTAAAGGAGTATTGGGAAATAAATTATAATGAATTGAAAAAAATGTTTAAAAGCACTTTTCCACAAAAAACCCCCCAGAGTCCTTTTCTTGGGGATAATTCAGATGGAAATTCCCAGGTGTCAAAAAAGGTTATTTATGTATGGCACTACTGCGGCTTGTGTTTTGTTAGCCCCAAAATGGAAAATGAGTGAGGTCCCAACTAAAGAAGAATGGCAACTTAAGCTGACAGAATATGCTCAGCTTGCAGACTTAACATATAGAATAAGAGAACAAGAAGAACATAGGTTTAGAGAAGATTGGAAAATGTTTATTCAATATATGGGAGTGGGGATTGTGTACACCTGAAAACATTGGCAGCATTAAGACAAGTTCAGTAGTGTAAATAACTTTTGATGGAAGTAATAATGGAATATTGAATAGTTTAGTTTATATAAAATATGCAGGGATTTATGCTATGCAAAACGAACCATGGAAAGAGAAGAAGGGAAGTCATTGATATTTTAAGGTTGTTTAAATGAGTATTCTAAATTGTAAAACAGAAAATTTAATCAAAATTATATATATAAACTTTACAGGTGTTAATCTGTAACTTCTAGTCTAATTTAAACGCCATATGAAAACCATATGAATCCCCTAGCAAATGTCCTCTGGAGCCTTGGGAGAACTCCCTTTTTCTGCCAGGCTATCATCACCATCTTCAGTGAGGCTGTATGCATTAGCTTGAAATATTCTTTCTTTGGTCATAGCTGAAGATTTTCCTCTTTTTTCCACTCTCCAGGGTATAGCAGATAAGAGCTGGAAAGAGAAGAGCATCTTCTGTAGATGCAGCTATTGCAATTCTATCCTGTAAACTTTCTAGGCTCATACTGACAAGCAAGAGGAATATTTTCCCCGCTAGCTACTGAACACTATAAATACCAACCATCCACCAGTGGGCTGACCTCCAAGCTCATTATATTATTCACTTTTATAAGCTCCGGGATATTATTAACCATGGCTAAATGTTAACCAGCATTGTGGGGTTGGTCTTGGGCATTGTGGGACTTCAATAAAACTATGCTTCTGCCTGATGCAAACAAAAACTTTGTGTCTCTGTGTCATCATTTGGAGTTATCTCTGTTGTTCCTTTAGATGCAGACCCCGTAATGACAGGCATCCAAGCATTACCTGAGCTCCTTAGACATTGGAAGAACTGCCACTAGTTATCTGTTTTATTCCTGCTGAAAGGACAGCAGAGGTGGCATTAAAGCAGGGCTGGAGAAATTTGGTTCAACATTCGATTCCAGAATGCATTAACTAGTGTAAAGCGTGCATATAAATGCATATATTGATGAAAATGGCAGACTATGTGTGTCATATTTGGGGCAATTGCTTCTCAAAAATGTGTATGTTAGTCAAATCTGCATACAAAAACCTGTTTATTAAGAGAAATTAACTCTGAAATGATGAGGAATTTTCTTGAAGATTTATTATAATTGCTATTTTTGCAAATTGTTGTGGCAATGTGGTGAACTGAATTTAAGATTAAGAAAACGAGAAGCATAGAGAACCTGGATTTGACAGATTCGTGCATCCCAAATAGTTACCGGCCCAGTAGCACCCGGGAACTTTGAGTAAGTGCCAGGATCTACTGACTGTGATGGCACTGACACCTTGCTTGTACTGGATGGCTGGGCTGATAAGCTGCTATTTTAAAATTTCCCACAATGCTCCAGAGTGATGCTACATTGGGGGCGTTTAAAATGGTGACCCACCGTCACACACTTCTGCTGCCAGGAAAGGCGGTCTTCTGACAAAGGAACAAATTCACCAGGGGACAATTTGACAAGGAGCCCCTCAAGCCTGGAGCCAAATCTGTTTGGAAGCATAAGCTCCTGATATCAGACAACACCCCAAGCCACTTAAATGGTATAGATTTCTTTTTTAAAAAATCTATTATATGATATGGTTTGCAACATGGGTCGGCAAACTAAGGCCCAGGGGTCGGATCCAGCCCAATCGCCTTCTAAATCGGGCCCACAGGCGGTCAGGGAATCAGCGTGTTTTTACATGAGTAGAATGTGTGCTTTTATTTAAACTGCATCTCTGGGTTATTTGTGGGGCATAGGAATTCGTTCATTCCCCCCCCCTTCAAAACAAGGTCTGAGGGACATTGGACCGGCCCCCTGCTGAAAAAGTTTGCTGACCCCTAGTTTAGAAGGTGCAATGCACACACACAAACTCCACTTTTAGCAGATTATTTAGAGAAAGCAGAATTGCAAATACAGAATTAAATCATTAGGATTTTTGTGGTTCAGAGAATGATATGCAAACTGGCTTAGCAAGAAATGCTGGCAAATGCTGATAAGGCTTGCCAAAGCAGCACACTTAACATAATGCTGGTTTCAGAGGACAGGTTTCCAAAGTTGAGAAATATCAGCCAGAATTGGCTGGCTTTTGATCTCAAGCTTCACGATGCAGCATTTGGTACGGACTGACAGGTTCTCTCCTTGGTCAGAGAGACCACTCGAAATAAGGCAAAGGCACGAGAAAAGGAGGAGTAAGTTTGAGGAACAAAGGCAGGATAGAAGCAGAAAAAAGTAAGTCCAATCCTCTCTGACTCCAAAAACATCGAAACCCTGTGAAGGACCACACGGCATCATTACTAGCCAATCCCCTTCTTTCTTGCGGTGGCCTTTATGAACGAGAACAAAGAAAGATGGAGAGGCAATGAACTTGGTGTTACAAAGGAGCTGAAGGAAGAAAAGAATTTAATAAAGTTAATAAAAGCATAAAAAAAGAATTTTACCCACATGTTCGAGCCATGTGCTTGATCTTTTTTTTTTTTATGTCACAAAAATATTAATGATAAATTGTGAGACATGGAATTCTAATATATTTATATGGCTTCAGAAATACTTATGTGGGCTGGCCCAACATTCTGTAGGAGGAGAGGAACTTTGCTGACCTGACTGAATACAGGCAGCGACCAATTTGAGCACATTGAAGTGACATGTGACTGCCAGAGTGCAGGTCCTGTGGGACCTGGAAGAGGGCAGAAGAGAATGGGGACGGGGGTGGAATGGTGGCGGAATGCGGCAGAATGGGGTGGGGCGGGCTTATTTGCACTGCCCCGACGCACGAGGGGGCAGGCAAAATGGTTGCTGCCCGTGACATGAATCCAGAAAGAAAGTATAGCTGCAGCATTCAGAGCTCTAGTTCAGAGATGGGGAACCTGCAGCCCTTCAGAATTTGTTGAATTCCAGCTCCTATCACCACTGACCATTAGCCATGCTGGCTGCGGCTGATGGGAGTTGGAGCCCGACAACAGCAGCAGCAATTTATTTAAATCCTGCCCATCTGGCTGGGTTTCCCCAGCCACTCCAGGCGGCTACCAACAGAATATTAAAAGCACAATAAAAGATCAGTCATTAAAAACTTCCCTAAACAGGGCTGTTTTCAGATGTCTTCTAAAAGTCAGATATAGTGGACGCTCGGGTTGCGAATGTGATTGGCACGTGAGGGTTGCAATTTGGCGCTTCTGCGTATTCGCGACCACCGAAACCCAGAAGTAACCCGTTCTGGTACTTCCAGGTTTCGACGGGTCCATAACCTGAAAAAACACAACCTGAAGCGTCTGTAACTCGAGGTATGACTGTAGTTGTTTTATTTCCTTGACATCTGATGGGAAGGCGTTCCACAGGTAGGGCGCCACTACTGAGAAGGAATTCTGCCTGGTTCCCCGTAGCTTCACTTCTCGCAGTGAGGGAACCGCCAGAAGGCCTTCAGAGCTGGACCTCAGTGTCCTGGCTGGACGATGAGGGTGGAGACGCTCCTTCAGGTATGCAGGACCGAGGCCATTTAGGGCTTTAAAGGTCAACACCAACACTTTGAATTGTGCTCGGAAACGTACTGGGAGCCAATATAGGTCTTTCAAGACCGGTGTTATGTGGGCTTGGTGGCCACTCCCAGGCACTAGTCCAGCTGCTGCATTCTGGATTTAGAGGGCCGGGTTCCCCATCCCTGCTCTACTTAAAGAGAACACTTTCCACATCCCCCCAAAAATCAGCAAATGACAATAAATTTCCTGAGTCTCAGTCTGAACCATAAGAAGTCAGCCCAGTGACTCATTTCCCATATTCCATATCAAATTAGGGGGTATTTAACAAGCAAATTTCACCCTTAAATTTCTGTGAACATTAATTGGAATATTGCTACATAGAATATTTCAGTTCTAATTGTTCCGCTTTTGTTCTTTAAAGCCTCACCGCATCCTTGCTTATAAAGATGTATGGGCAAGCCCAATGAATGAAGGCATCTGGAAACCACATTGCTTGGACAAGACTGCTGGTCAGCAATGGCGCTGGGTGCACACCTTTCCTTCTGTATAACTGAATACATTTCTACAGAAAGTTTTGCAGAGGCTCTACAGAATACTTCAAATATTGCACTAGGCAACACCATTGTGCCTCTCCCTGAATATTATACTGTGTAGCTCTTTTCTCATGGGTCCCTGCAAAATATAGTTTCTATTTCCACCCCAGGCCAAATTCCTAGTTTTTAATAAGGTTTCCGAATGATGTTTTTTTCTCTCTCTAAACCATTTAAGGTACCACACGTGTATAATCTCAGCAATCTTTGCAATTATAATTTAAGGTATGCAGGTACGGTTCCCCATTTTACAGATATGCCAGACCTCACAGAAGTGGATCCATTTCTTCCCTGCCTCTGACTTTGTGATGTTTCTTCTACCTTCATTTATACTCGAAGGCTTCATGCGCAACAAGGATGGAAGATGTAATCTTCCAGGAAGTTATTTTAATGACACAAGGTTCACACGCTGGCACTGACTGGCCATTCTCTGTTTCCCCTTTAGAGGGCGCTCTGCTGCCAGCCTCGACAAGGGCGTCTCTTATTTCATTTTTCTAGAGGCTTCAAGCCATGTTCCAAAACATGTGCTTGCTTTTTAGTGTGTTTTGCTTTGCTAATTAGGGGATTAAGTAATCTTTGGCTGTCTGGCAAAAATGTGCTCAATTATAAATATGCCTGAATGTGGGTTTAGCATATTATTTGCATTTTTATTCCCCCCCCCCGTGTTTGTGGAGAGGGAATCCAGTTCAGTATTACAGAACTGCAGGAGGGCATCCCTTGTAAGCTTTCCACTTAAATGGTTATTTCTATAAAGAGGTGGTTGTAACCTTGGTCATAGGTTGCTGTAAAGACATGTGCAACCTTTTCCATTGCTGCTGTTGCTGCTTGTGTTGTTGTTGATATTTATATAGGAGAGAAGTGGCTAAGCTTTCTTTCACCCTTGCCAGTCCTCTGGGATGCCAGTGGTGGGTGTGGCCAAAAGTGGGTGTCGCCACAAGGGATGAGTGAACCCATCAAATCCATTTTCTATCACTTTCTCATTTTTCCAGTTCCAATCGCCATATTTCCAAATCAGTTTGCAATTAAGAAGAAAAACCCCACTCATTCATTCAGTATATAGCCCTATACCCACAGGTCTCAGGGAGGTTACGACATAAAATCACAATATATAAATACATTTTAGTGTGAATTTCTCCCAGTTTTCACATTTGGACATGCAATCTGGCCTAATATATTGTATTTACTCAAGTCTAATGCACCATCAAATCTAATGCACACCCCGATTTTCAGAACCTTGAAAAAAAAAGAGAGGATTTGCTGGTGAATGTAAATGCGCCATCAGATCTTAATTGCACCTTAATTTTCACAACGTGATTTGGCCGAAAAAAGGTGCGCATTAGATCTGAATAAATACAGTATTTTTTAAAAAAAATTTGCAAAGCACCTTCCTCTGATATAATGCATTTTAGTATGCTATTTTCACTCATATTTACTTTATATGCAAATTCAGCATGGCACATGAAATTTCGTAAACATTATTAGGGATTCAGCTACATTAGTCAAAAAAAACATCGTTTTGAATGCTTTTTAGACATGCAACACCAGATGGTGCTGGAGAGAAAAAAAAAAAAGTTCTTTGTGATTTTCAATGGTGGTTTTCCCCCTTTGTTAAAATGATTTAATTTCTGACCTATTTAAAGCATTTTGTTTTGGCTCAGATAACTCCATTGCAAAATTCAGGGAAGTTTGAGTTTTGAAAAGTGGCTGTGTTTTGGATCATGTATTGTTTCAGAAAGTGCAAATGATCAGCTTTAAGTGTGAACTAATCTGAACTTCTCCCTCAACTCTATTGATCACCCAACACTCTCTCATGTCCACCCACCCACACAGACAGAGCCCCCCACAGCTGATCTGTGCAGATCTAAGGAGCAGGAAGTGCAGAATTCGCATCCCCCTCAGGGCACTGTCCTGGGAAAAGGTATTCAAGTGCCTCCAACAACCACAGCACCATGTGCACTTTATTTCTCCCTGCCTCTGTGCTGCCTCCTCCAACGTCTTGGGAGTCCACAAAAAATTACTTCGGGGTAAAGATCAGGCCCTCAGATTGGGAGTGAGACGTCCCTGATTTAGGCTTTTGGTTAATATCCACCCAAGATTGCCAGATCAAGATCCTGAGAACATTTTTGTTCCTTAATGAGACACATAAAAGAGAAGAAGCAGTTAGTGGTAAGATTCATAGGGCTGAATTCAGCTAATGAGTTCTGCTAGTGGAAGCTAGTGCAAGGAGTTCCACTAATGCAATCGGGTTTTTCACCCCATCTCCCCCCCGTGAACCCCCGTGCCCCCAAAATTGGCTTGTGCTGGGGTTCACGAGAACCCTGGAACAGCATGCGAGGATGGAGAGGCAGGATTGTTCCAACGGGCAAGCTGAAATTATTGTGCTGACCGAAGGATCGTCGCAGTGCTATCTTGCAAACTTCCCTTAGCGTCTAGTTCCAGACAGTTTCCTGCTGCAAAAAATGCCCTAGAACCAGAGCCATAGCTAGGTGATCTTGTGCCCCTGGCAGAACTGTCCCCCCAACCACTGACAAATTAGCTCTTCTTTGCCGCCTCTCCTCCAACCCTCCCCCAATTCAATTCACTCTCTATTAAAAACCTTTTCTTATGAAGCAATAATCAATATTTTTATTTATAGACATATTTTTCATCCCATTTTGCGCCCCCCCCTCGCCTGCATCCATGGCGGGGGCCCACTTTGCCACCCCCTAGCTATGGCCCTGCCTAGAACATGCCTTTGGTATCAGGGCTTTGCTATACAGATTATGATCTGCAGAGGGTGCTCTCAGCTGAATTTAGAGGCTGTGATTAGAGGGGAAACAGAATTAGAAATTCTACTTTGAAAACTTGTAAAGGAGTTCTGTACAATAAAGTGAGCAAACTACGCCAAACAACTGATTCAAAGATACCTGAAGGTAACAGGCTCATGAGTGTCCAACTCAGCATGGAATTTTAAATGATGAGAACTGGCCTGAGAATTTCACCCACCTTCCACATATGCATAAATACTAATTGTAATGAATACTGTACAGATTTCATCCCAGGCATTTTCTTTTAAACTCTTATGTGTTCGGTGATTTTTTTTGCTAGAGAGTCTCATCCTAGTGTATAAACTAGGCCCTGATCTACAGAGCATAGCTGAGAGTATAATGTACATAGACCACACCAGGAAGATGGAAAAATAGCTGGTTTTATTTCTTGGTTTGTTTTGACACAGTTCTCAGTCTGGTGTCCATTTTCGAATTATTCCCGTAATCACAGGCATAGAACATGCTCAGTTCCAACTTTTCTAAAGAATCACTTTTCCCATTTGCCCACTAGGTGGTGTCCACATAAACCTATTGTATAGAGAGTTCCTTTTTTTAAAAAAATGTATTTTTATTAAAGATTTTCTTGGTTTACAAAAGTATGTGCAATCTCTCTCTTTCAAGTAACATTTTTTTACAGATCAGTTTTGTTTGTTGAGACATTAGGAAGAAAAGGGGTGGAGAGGTGGAGAGGTGAGTGGGGGTGGGGTCGGGTGGCGATGTTTCTACTTTACTTATGTGGGGTTTTGTGTCAGCGTCGCTTGTGCAGGTTCTCTGCTGTTCACTTGTGTTCTTTTGGTGGTGAGAGAGGTTGGGGTTGGCCTAGGGTGTGGTTGTTCATTTGTGATTGGCTGTGGTGATCTTTGTTTTCAAGTGCGAGTGGGGGTGGGTGGGTGTTTTGGGTCAGGCTAGCCATATTGATTTGTATGCTGTTGGTGGATTTTTGTCATTGTCTTGTTGAGCTGTGTATGTGATGAAGGAGAGCCATACCAGGGTGAAGGCGTACTTAAACCATCTGCCTTGAGGGACAGCAGAACACCAGTCCTTTCATTTAAAAGACCAACCCATTCTAACAACCTCAAGATGAGGGAACTGCAGCTACCCACTCCAACCACTTGGAGGAGGCAAAGATTAGTTGTCCAAGTTTGCTAATTGACACATTTGTGGACATGAATCACCTCGCCCACGCTGACCTGCAACACTTGCTTGCCAACTACGCAACAAGACAGGTGTGCTGTGTTCTCCTGACACCTGGAGGGCTGGAGACATCCCATGAACACCCTGCCTAGCCACCAAAGAGCACTCCCCAATTTCTTTCAATGTACACAACAAGATGCACATAACTATGGTGCATCTTTCCCCAACTTGGTGCCATCCAGGTATTTTGGACTACAACCCCATCAGCCCCAACTAGCGTGTGGCTGTTGGGCAGGGATAATGGGAATTGTAGTCCAGCAAGATCAGAAGGGCATCAGGATAGGGACGTCTGGTGGAGTGCTGTGCTCTCTATTCTTTCTCTCCTTCTTTCAAGTCGTTCCCTTCCATTACCAGAGGACATGCCCTCGCCCTCAGGCTAACGATTTGGGAGACTATTTTGTTCATTGAACTTATATCCCGCCTTTCCTCCTGAAGGAACCCAGGGCAGCAAAATTGTCCACCAGCTGATTGAGATGGTTCATCAGCTAGGAGCATCACTCACTGTCCCTAAAGATCAGAAAACATTTCAGGCAAGGAGCGTCATCTGCTCTCCTCAGATCCCATAATGTGAAGCATAGGAGCCAACTCTTAAGAGGCCAAGGTCCCTTCAGTGCCCCCAATAAAATATTTGAGGGGGCTCCCACCCCCAAAGTTGATGGGCATTGCCATTCAAATGGTGTGCACTCGCCATGTCTTGTGATCGATTATGCAGGGTGGGGCTTACCTGAGCCCCCACAATAATTTATTCAGGTTGGCTCCCCTAAGAAGGCTGCATAAAGGTAAAGGTAAAGGGACCCCTGACCATTAGGTCCAGTCGTGGGGTAGAGAGCCAGTGTGGTGTAGTGGTTAAGAGCGGTAGTCTCGTAATCTGGGGAACCGGGTTCGCGTCTCCACTCCTCCACATGCAGCTGCTGGGTGACCTCGGGCCAGTCACACTTCTTCGAAGTCTCTCAGCCCCACTCACCTCACAGAGTGTTTGTTGTGGGGGAGGAAGGGAAAGGAGAATGTTAGCCGCTTTGAGACTCCTTAAAGGGAGTGAAAGGCGGGATATCAAATCCAAACTCTTCTCTTCTCTTCTTCGTGACTGACTCTGGGGTTGCGGTGCTCATCTCGCTTTATTGGCCGAGGGAGCCGGTGTACAGCTTCCGGGTCATGTGGCCAGCATGACTAAGCCGCTTCTGGCGAACCAGAGCAGCACACGGAAATGCCGTTTACCTTCCCGCCAGAGCGGTACCTATTTATCTATTTGCACTTTGATGTGCTTTTGAACTGCTAGGTTGGCAGGAGCAGGGACAAAGCAACGGGAGCTCACCCCGTCACAGGGATTTGAACTGCTGACCTTCTGATCGGCAAGTCCTAGGCTCCGTGGTTTAACCCACAGCGCCACCCACGTCCCGCTCAAGAAGGCTGCATGAATACCATCAAATGGATTTGCTCAGCTTAATTTGGGGTCTTCTGGGACAGATTTTACTTTCGAATAGTCTTCACTTTCCCCGTCAAACATTTGTTCCAGGAAGTTTCTAGGCTCAGGAATTGTAGGAAGAATCATCTCTTTAATCCGTTTCCGGTAAATGAGAAAAACGACAGTCAGGACGGCTACACATAACGGAGCAAGAATGTATGGGATATATAATGTGTGGTCTCTCTCATCCCAGTCCACCACCTCGCTCCAATCACTGGTCCAGATTTCCCCACTAATGTAGAACTTTGCTCTCACTCGAAAAGTGTGGCGTGCCTTAGGCTTGAGACTGATTGATATATTAGTATTGTGAGTTTGCTGTATCTCTGATCCAGAGTTATTAATTTCTACTTCATAGTTCATGCCGCTCCATAGGGATGGTTTAGTCCAGTTCAAAAAAACACCTCCATTGTTCTTTGTGATGTTTACAATCGATGGAGTCTTCAGTCTGACTGGAAATCCAACTTCTCCCGACATTTTGCTAAGGATACACACAGGTTGAATGTCCTTGGAATTGCCTTGTAATGAAATGCTAAGTTCTATCCATTCATATTTCAAGTCAAATGCACATCGAAAGGCACCACCTTTCTTTGTGTAATTTGTGCATGGCTGCTCTCTTCTGAGTTCTGGGATCCACAAAGTCAAGCTGTAGTTTGCGTCGCGACTTGCATTCTCTCCACGAAGCCATGAGCACTCCAGGGATCTCTCCATATGCCAGATACAGCTGACATTAACCGCTCCTGTACCTGGAACACCATTTTGTGGAAGAGAGATATTAAGCCACTCTCCTTTCTGGCTCTGTTCTTGCTGACATTCCGTTCTGACTCGGAAAACAACTTCTTTACCCAGAGGTACCTGCACTGTCCGGGAGTGGTTTCTATGAATACGCTCCACGACCCAAACTCCACCGGTCCTTATAGCACTCCGATACTTTACATCGCAGGCACCTTCCATTCTTACAGGAGTCCACACCACATCCAACTGGCAGCGTGTTTCATTGAGGGTATAACTCACGTTTGATGGGCGAGGAAGAGTCAGCGTGGCTCCTCTGACAGCCCCAATGAGGGTGACAAGCAACAGTACCAGTGTCCCCATGAAGCTTCCCTGCCCCATCTCATCTCCTGATCTCGACTGAGGGCTGGCTTTCATAGGAAGGATTGCTGGCAGGGCTTCCGTTCATTGATACGTCAACTGCGGTTCGCTCACCTGAGAAACACAGACAGGGAAGACAGGAAGTCATATATAACAATGTACATTTGTATATTTGTAAAAATATATATATTTTTAAAAACCAGAAGCATTTTTACTTGGTATTATAGGTCCGGACATTAATAGGCAAGATGTTAAATTGTTTTTATATGCAACAACTGCGGCAAGAGTATTGTTAGCCCAGAAATGGAAACAAGAAGAAATTCCGACAAAAGAAGAATGGCAGACGAAATTAATGGACTATGCAGAATTGGACAAAATGACAGGAAGGATTCGAAACCTGCGGGTTTACAGAGATTTACAGAAGATTGGAAGAAGTATATGAATTATTTGAAGAGCAACTGTAATCAACAAATTACACTAGTAGGACTACAAGAAGTTTTGTAAGGAGAAATATACGAAGTGTTACAAAGGAGAAAAAGATAGAGATATTGGTTATGAGTTTGAAATGTAATAGGGAAGATAAGAAATGCATACTGAGAGATTAGATTGGAAAATTTTCAGACAGGATTGATGGAAGTCAAAAATTTGAATAAGATGTAAAAGTATGTTTAATTACTGTTGAAAATGATATGTTAAAAAAACTTTTATATACACACATACACACACACACACACACACACACACACACCGTATTTTTTGCTCTATAAGACTCACTTTTTCCCTCCTAAAAAGTAAGGGGAAATGTGTGTGCGTCTTATGGAGCGAATGCAGGCTGTGCAGCTATCCCAGAAGCCAGAACAGCAAGGGGGACTGCTGCTTTCACTGTGCAGCGATCCCTCTTGCTGTTCTGGCTTCTGAGATTCAGAATATTTTTTTCTTGTTTTCCTTCAGCTGAATCGAACCATACACTATACATACTTGGCTTCACTTATCCCAGCTTTCAACTGCAGTGACTGAAGATGGCACTTTGGGTGTTGGCTGGCTGCGTGGGTGAGAGACTGACGTCATGGTTTGTGTTGAGCAATGAGGTGGAAGGGGACAAAACCTCTGTAAAAGTTGCTAAATCTTGCTGCAATAACGCAGCCATCTAAATGAGCATCAGTCAAAAGCACGAAGGGAGGCATATTGGGAATGTAGTGCATGAGAGATATTCAACACGCCAGAACAAACGAGGCCAATGGGTGCTGCTGGGTTTATTGACGGACATGAGGAGCTGTTGATATGGTGTAGTCTACTAGAGAATCAGCAGGCAAAGCTCAAGATGTTCTAGGCTGGGATAAACGAATACATTTGAGATATCAGGTGTGCCTCATGCAAACTCAACAATTTGGACAAATATCCCTTCTTTTCCAATAGCTGGGCCTGTCTGCTGATACCGCCACATAAGGCGGCCCTCCAGACTGGTGTTTTATTGTGAGTGTATTCTGTAAGATGTTATTGACACAATAATAGCCCATTAGTGGGGGATTCATTCTGCAATGTGTCCCCAATGCTAAGACATTATTAGGGTCTGGTGGAGCTATAGCGCAACAAGAGGAGGACAAAAATAAACCAGAATATTTGTGGTTTAAAGGGTTATGGGGTGTTAGCAAGAAACTACAGGGTATGCACTATTAGAAATGAAGCTGTGTGACCACCCCCAACACTTTACAGGTGCAAACAGTATTAAAAGTGGGATCGCATATGACAGCTCCAATAGCGTCATGAACACAAATCAGCGTGAATGTGCAATAAAAAGGATGTCTGGAGGAGCCCAAGGATTCTAGTACATGTTATATAGCAGATGCAAATGTTAAACACACACACACACACACACACACACACACACACACACATTATGGACACACAAATTTCAGGCTAGCCAAATCTACTCCATCTTTTGCTAAAATACCAGCTATACCAACCAACCAAATGCAAAATACAGGCAGCTGGAATTACAGAACAGGATGCCTTTGATCATATCCTGAGCCTAGGAATTTGCTTTCACTTCCAGAACTGAACTAAGTTCACAGTCCTTTCCGACACGGAAGTCCACGCCTGGTTACAAGCCCCGCATTTTGGCAGCCTAAGAACAAGTCATTTTGTCACTGCAGTGGTTCAGCAATTGAGAGACAGAAACCTTACTGGTTTTCTGCAATACCAATAAGGCATCTTCCAGTATCTCTTTGATTGATACACACTAACTTATATGTAGCACAAAAAATGTAGTTTTTCTCCATCTAGCATGCTGCTTTCAGTCAAGATTGATTCTAGATCCTGCTGCCCACAGGGGTGTGTGTGTGCTTTTGAAAAAACCCTTTTCCTCCCTGCAAATGCCCCAGAAGAAGGATGTGGAGGTTGTGATATTGTTATATGCCCACATCATTGAGCAGTTGTGGATTCATTCACCTGTTTTTAAATGGACAGGCTGTGGAGTAATACAGAATCAATCTGCAGTCAGCTTTTATTTCCAGAATGCAATGAGCTTCTCAAGACACACTTTTCAGAGGCACAAAATATGCAATAGATCTAGACAGCGTGTGGACTATGTGTGTGTGTGTGGGGGGGGAGACAAGTCTCCATTGGTTCTAGAATAAAAATAAAAACAAAATGTGTGTACAAAGAGTAGATCCTGATTTGCCCACCTCTGCTCTAGAGAAAGATTACATCCCTGTACGCACTTTGAAATTCTTAAGACTATTGAAGTGCATCTTCTTAATAATGGCAGAATATCAAAAGGAGAAAGGACACCAAGCTCAAATATCAAGGAACATTACCTATAACAGGCCCACAGTTCTCTTCTGATGGAGGTACAAAGCATCAAGAAACCTTTCTGTTTGAGCAGGTATTGGGTGACAGACAGCAGCCAATTGACACTGTGTTTCTGCATACCACCCTCAGCAACACATTTTTGCATATCTTATGAGGCAAACCGCACATGTTGCTGGAGAACAGTGATAAGATCTCCCCATTTATTTATTTTTTACTTTAAAGCAGCCTATGCACAGCTGCAGCCCTGGGAGAATATGTGCTTTAACTCTTTCCCCCTTGCCATTTCCCTGATTTGATTATAGCCCGCCTCCTGGTTGCCCCATGGCAGGGAAATGTAGGCTTGTGCAACTCCCTCATCCTATCACTGTCATCTTGATTAATTGCATGGTTTTAAAAAAATAAATAGATCAGGAAAACAGCATAGTGAAAAGTGAAACACCCCTCTCTCCAGATCAAGTTTGGTGTTCCTTTCATCTGCTTAACATGAAAAGAAGATGTGGATCAGATCACTAATCTCCACCACCGCATGTGGTTTGACCTCGCTTCACCAGGACAGAGTGAGCTCTAACCTAATGTATCAAAAACACATTGCAGGAATTTCCAGTCTGTTTACATCCACACCATACATTTAAATCACTCTTATACCATTTTAACAGTCATCCTGAGAACTGTAGTTTGTCAGAGGTGCTCACCTCACTGAGCCACAGTTCCCAGGATTCTCCATGAAGAGCTCAGGGCAACATAAATCCTGTATAGATTGTTTTGTTGTGACGCTTAATCACTAGGCTTGGTTTCATCTGGCTGGAGTCAGGAGTTTCCTGTGGTTATTCTGTTCTCAAGATAAAAATTACTGTCTCACTTCCTGACTGGTAGGTCCTCTAAGCTTTCCATGCCAAACTGGGTAGTTTTCAACCACTTTATCCTCACCTCTTTCCTGTGAATTCGAAGCACAGTGAACTTCATGACCGACAAAGGATTTGAATACAACTCTTCCTGATTCAAACTGAAAGCATTCTCAAATGCTGAGCTTGGTCAGTCCTTGTAAGCAAGGGTGTGTGGGTGTGTTTAGGTCATTGTGGCACCTGAAGTGAATTTGAAAATTGCACTCCAAGGATTGTAGTTTGTTAAGGGTCCTACACACAGACGTCAGAGTCAAGCTTATTTCTTATAGCAAACAACTGTTGATGGCATCTGCCTGTCTTGGGAGACAGTGAAGGAGTGCATCTTTGGAGGTTAACTACTGTGGGAGTAGTTACTACTGTGGGATCAGGCAACAGGCTCCTCATATCCCAACCCATATAAATAAGAGACCAATAAGACTGGTTTGGAGTCAAAACAAGCCACAACTTTATCGAATAGAGATGAAAGAGGTTTGGCTTGGGCATGGGGCAATCTACCATATTTTTCCATGTATAACCCCCCCCCCCCGTGTATAAGGCCCCAAATTAAGGAAATGGGTAGTGATTGCTCAGAGTTGTTAAGCTTTTTTTGGGGTGGGGATTGCCGCCAATCTCGCACCCACCTGACCACCGCTGCCAATTGCACGCTTCACCAAAGCCACCAATATATGTCGCAGCAGCAGCTAATCATCAGCAGGCCTTGACTCAGCCACCAATCAACTGCCCAATCGCCACTGACAATCTCCTGCTCGTGGCTGCCACCAATTGCCTGTCCTTCCCACAATTTTATTTTTTTAAAAAATCATCTTATACATGGGAAAATATGGTAAATACTTCCGGCTCGCCTGCTGAAAGTGACGCGTGGTCAGTCCAGGCAGGGGTTCCTAAGGTGACCATCCATAGGGTGACCCCCACAGGGACTGCCATCTGCGGGAGTGCTTTCGGCCCTGGTTCCACCTGGGCACACGGACATGGCCACTCCCCCCAGATCTCTTTAATGGGATACCCCAGTGTTTGGAGGGGCAGGCAAAGACTACAACCTCCCCTCCATCTAAAACAAAGGATTGCCCCAATGCCCAACCAGTTGTGATGATTGCTATGAGGTAGGCAAAACCACCAGGTCAGTGCCAATTAGCCTGGTGGGCAAATTCCTACCTGGCCCCTTAAAGGACGGTGACCACTGTGGCCACAGCAAAGTCACTGACTATCAGTTTAAACCAAGGGTAGGTGGGTGGGGGAAACCAACGAGGGAAGGAGCAGGTAGTGCCCCAGGTGCGGGCTGCTTAAATGGGCAAGGGGCGGATCCGAGGGAAGCCCAACATCAACTCCATCAGCTTCGCCCTGTCACAGCCCAAGTCCCAGCCTGCATCCCCATTTGCCAAAGCAGGGTGCAGGCTAGGATCTGATTCCTGATAGGCGGTGGGGGCTTCTGCTGCCCCCTGCCTATCAGGAAGGGCATGACAGTTCCAGTTCTAACACCGGAGCCCCTGGGAAGCCTCTGCTGTCCCACAACGCCGCCGCACCAAGAGGGGTGAGCGGACTTACATAAACTGCATTGCTGTTGCATATGGGACTTCTCTCACTCAATATACAGTTTAAAACAAAATACAGTTCAGGAAGAGGAAAGGAGGGAGTGTTGGCTGCCCTCCAGCTTAGTTTTCTGTATTTTGTACAGCAGTGGCAGCAAAAACCAAACCAAACCAAAGCAAACCCAGAAAACTAAGGGTTTTTGTTTGTGCAGGGGAGGGAAAGCAGCCAACATCAGCAGCAGATCCAGGGAGCTGTGAACGCTCAACATCTGGGAGAGAAGCACACTTTGCACTTAAAAGCAGATCAACTGAAACACAGGAGGTTTATTTACGAAGGGGGAGGGAGGAATCAAGAGCAGGAGAGTAGAGGGAAGCAGAAGACTTACTTGTAAGTCAGCCCCACCGTTTAAACACACGCGGGAAGGAAGACTTTGCTTGCTGGTTTCTCCTTGCCGTAAGGAGCGGAGTCGGGGAGGGGAAACCAGGAAGCAACGCTGGAGAGGAAGGCCTGCCTTTTGCTGGAATTCTTAGTAAAAGGGAAGTGCATGCAAGACTTTGCTTGCTCATCTCTCTCCACCCCGAGGCAGGGGAAACACAGCTGGAGGAAAAGCTTCAGGGGCTCAGGCCACAGCAGCTGTGGGGGCATGGAGGCGGCAATTGTTTCATCTTACTTCCTGGGTGGGGGGGCTGGTTCTGCTTTTAAGACCCTGTTATACTAAGGCTGGCAGCAGCAGCAGCAGCAGATTTACATATGGGCTGAGCAGGCATATGAGCAGATTTACATATGGGCTGAGCATAAATGAGGCATGTGTTGGGGGGGGGGGCTTGGCTTCTTGCCATTTTCTTTTCTTAAGAAAACAGGCAGAGTTTTCTGTCAGAGCCCAGTTGCGCAGTAATGTGATGCACGTGACATATGTGTCTATGACTGTGTAACAGTCACACAAGTGCTAGCTTACTGTTTAGTAAAGTTCGTGGAAGCTTTAAAGCTCCTCAGAATCAAATGGTAAAGTCAGCTATGAAGCAATACAAGGGCTCCGATCGCTGCCTATCATTATAGCACACATTCTGAGAGCAAGTGAGGACTCATTGGCATGTTGCTGTGAATTGCAGTAACACTTAATTTTGTCTTTCTGCAAAAATTAAAACGATTAAGCACTATGAAAGCGGCGCTAGTAAAAGAAAACAACAACAAGAAGAACGGAAGGAAATATTCAAAACATATAAAGCCAATCACGCCATATGGCCTGGAACAACAGGCAGAAGCAGCCCTTCACAACCCCTCAGATACAGAACATTTGTGTTTACAAACAGAAGGAAATCAAGTAGCTCAGTGTTTCCCAAACTCGGGTCGCCAGCTGGTTTTGGGCTACAACTCCCACCATCTCTAGCTAACAAGACCAGCAGTCAGGGATGGTGGGAATTGTGTTGGGGTTTTTTTGTGTAAATATTTTTTATTGAGGTTTTTCACCAAATTTTAACATATTCAGAAAATTTAGATTACATTTTACATTTTCAGTTTAACACCCCCCCCACGACTCCCCCCCCAACTTCCCTTTCTGGTTTAGAGTATATTATTTTCGTTCTGCATATAATTTTGCGTACCTTCTATTCTAAAATAAATTCATTTCCTAATCTGTTCTTAACCTCTTAGTCCCTATTTGTATTTACTGTTTGTATTTGTTCATTGTAAGTGTATTACTCAAATGCTGCAAGTGAGTTCATTTCAATGTATTGTTTTTGCATATATATCTTAAAAGATTTCCAATCCTTTTAAAAGTCATTGGAATGGGAATTGTAGTCCAAAAGCAGCTGGAGACCCAAGTTTGGGAAACACTGGCCTAAATGGTCCTCAGGGTTCCTTCCAGCTCAAGGATTCTATTATTCCACCTCTCTCTCTCTCTCTCTCTCTCTCTCTCTCCAGTTTTTACTGAGCATTTGTTCTGATCTGTTTGCAATGAGGTTGTACCGCAATGAGCATCCATCACACATCCTTCCTGATTTGACCTGCAAAGTCTTTGCACATCTTCTCGTTAATTGTTTGCTCATCCCACACATTTCAGTACATGTCCTCATCAGTTTCCTAACTGCAAACAAAACACCTGAAAAGTTGATTTGTTGCACCAAGGTGACAGAACTCTTTAATCCACTTTAATTGCACAAACCTAAAACCCTGGCATCCTCTTGAATCCCTCTTCCAAAGCATTGACAGTCTAGAGGCGACCTTACTTTAGAGTAGGAAACATTTCCGCGTTCCCTTGCGTTTTGAAACATGGATGTGAAAGGTTGCAGCACTTGCCTGGGTTTTCTTTTACCAGTTAGCTGGAGTGCACTTTTCAAGTATGTGCTCACCAAGACTTCTCAAACTATTTTAGTCTAACCACAGCCTGGAAACACAAACCAAGTCTTGTGTAGCCAGGAAGTTTCTTGTAGTAGCAACAGGTAAATCTTGCCACTCAGTGCCAGGCAGACACCCAATGACAACGAAGCATGACCACAAATCATCTGCAGCACGCTTCCAAAATATAATTATGACAGCTTTTCTAAACACACTGCCTAGGCAGGTGAAGGCACTGCTGAAGTCATCTATTGATTTAAAACCAGCTGCTTCAGGTGATGCACTATACAGGAGTATACAAAACACAGGTCTTTAAAAGAGCCAGGTTGTTATTACCTGGCTATTATCTGTCCAAATGCTAAAACTTTATGCAGGTTGTTGAGTGTCCCCATGGGGAACAGGGGGGCAGTCCTGCAGGAATGTGATCAAGATCTCAAGTGGAGCATAGACAGATTTGCTGAAGCTACTTTTGTCATTCCAAAGGTTAAAAATATACACAAACTGAAGGTGAAAGCCACAGCGATGGTAGGTGTCAGAAGTTCCAGCCACTAGAGGACAAACAGTGGCTGCTGTGTGTCATTTAAAGCCATAATGACCATTTCATGTCAACTAACCAGCTCAAAGAATCTTCTGATCATAACTCGCCTTATGATCCCTGGACAGTTCCATGATTTTGAGGGCTATTGAGGACAAGTGTGACTGCCCTCTCCCTAAAATGGATGAGCAGTGAAGAAAGGCAAGTACAGTGGTACCTCGGGTTAAGTACTTAATTCGTTCCGGAGGTCCGTTCTTAACCTGAAACTGTTCTTAACCTGAAGCACCACTTTAGCTAATGGGGCCTCCTGCTGCATGATTTCTGTTCTTATCCTGAAGCAAAGTTCTTAACCCGAGGTACTATTTCTGGGTTAGTGGAGTCTGTAACCTGAAGCGTCTGTAACCTGAAGCGTATGTAACCCGAGGTACCACTGTAACAACTACAATAACAGCAAGATGATGATGATCAACAACAACAACAACTCTAGTCTTCAGTTTCACCTCTGCTCCATAGATTCATCTGTTCTTGGGAAGGTTAGAAGAACCACATAAGAACAGAAGAAGGCCCCTGGTGGATCAGGCCAATGGCTTATCTAGTCCAGCATCCAGTGGCCAACCAGATACCCATAGAAAGTCAGCAGTCAGGACTTGAGCATAAAAACACGCTGCCCTTCTGCAGCTTCCACCAACTAGCATTTAGAAGCATTACTGCCTCAGACCATGCTGTCGTGGCAACTAGTGATTGACTTCTCCATGACTTCTCCATTCCTCTTTCAAAGCCATCCAAGTTAGTAGTCATCACTACTTCCTGAGGGAGAGCACTGGTCTTCCTGAGAGCCCCAGACAAAATAAGAATCCCTCCATTGCAGAGGACTCAGTTGTATTGGACTCCAACTCCCATCAGTCACAGTCAACATGGCCAATGGCCAAGGATGATGGGAGTCATAGTCCAGCTTCACTGGAAAGGCAGCAAGTTAAGGAAGGCTGAGTCTCCCACTCTCCCCCAGTCTTCATCTAGCAGAAAAAGTGGGCTGCTCCCAGGAAGCACATGTCGCCCACTTAACTGGAAAAGCTTCACATGTGCCCAATACAGTGGTACCTCAGGTTACAGACGCTTCAGGTTACAGACGCTTCAGGTTACAGACTCCGCTAACCCAGAAATATTACCTCAGGTTAAAAACTTTGCTTCAGGATGAGAACAGAAATCGTGCTCTGGTGGCGACAGTGGAAGGCCTCATTAGCTAAAGTGGTACCTCAGGTTAAGAACAGTTTCAGGTTAAGAACGGACCTCCAGAACGAATTAAGTTCTTAACCCGAGGTACCACTGTAACATGAAACTTTCCCATTGTCCTTTTCAGGCTTTCCATCATGCCTTGTATTTGACAACACCATTCTTATATTAATATATAATCACGGAGCACTCTTCAGCTCATTCACACCCACGGTAGCTCTGAGGAGAAGATAAATACTTTTAAGCACATTTTCCCAATGGGGAACCTGAGGCTGGGGGTTCTTTCTCACAAAAGATGCAATTTGCATATGAATGCTTTTGGAGTGATTCCTATGCAAGCAGAAACTAGGCACCCACGTGGCTCTCTCGGAAAGAATCCTGACAGGAGAAATGATCAGGAATCCAGAACCCTCCTCCTCAAGAATTTCATGTGGGTGCTTAGTTTCAGCATCACATTAGCCAAGGAAGTTGCTTTAGAGCAGGGCTTTCATTCTGCTGTCATGGCCCCAGCCTTACAGAACAGGCCACCCAAAGAGTATCCAAGCTAGCAATCATTCTGTCAATCAGCAATGCATAATAGGCTTGGAGAACATCTAAACCTCAGCTCCCCTCCTCTTTTCTTCACCACTTGCAAAACCACACTCGTTTATTTACATTGTATCTCATGGGGACTTTTAATTGTAACTCACTCAGGGAGCTAGTCTTATCTGAAAAGTTGTGTATACAGTGGTACCTCTGTTCTCAAACTTAATCCGTTCCGGAAGTCCGTTCCAAAACCAAAGCTTTCCAAAACCACGGCGCGCTTTCCCATATAAAGTAATGCAAAACAAATTAATCAGTTCTAGACTTTTAAAAACAACCCCTAAAAGAGCAATTTAACATGAATTTTACTATCTAACCAGACCATTGATCCATAAAACAAAAGCAATAATCAATGTACTGTACTATGAAATAAATGAGACAGTATTGTAGATGATAAAAATTAAAATTATTATTTTTTCTTACCTGCACTGATGATAGTCATTGTTTGGATGGGGGGCTTTTATCCATTTCCATAGTCACACAATCAATCAATCAGTAGCTGAACTGAGTTCCACACAGCCACAGAAACAAATTAACTGAAAAAGCCTTAAAAACAAAAATGCAAAATAAACAGCAAAAACAAAAACGCCAAACTTTATTTGTTCCGGAAGTCCGTTTGACTTCTGAAATGTTTGAAAACCAAGGTGCAGCTTCTTATTGGTGCAGGCACCCCGCAGACAATAGCCGACAGCCACATCGGACGTTCTGCTTCTAAAAAACATTCAGAAACCAGAACACTTACTTCTGGGTTTTTGGCGTTTGAGGACCAAGGCGTTTGAATACCAAGGTGTTTGAGAACCAAGGTACCACTGTAATAGTTAGGGCCCAGGCTACCTGAAAAATCATATCTCCCTATATGACCCTGCCCAGGTACTAACATTCTCAAGTGAGCACCTTCTCTCAGTTCCATCAACATTAGTGGCGTGGTGGCCTGAGAGCATAGGTGCCAACCCTGGGGCTGAGGACATGTTGACCCCCCAAAGTATGGGGGACGGGGTTGAGCTCCCCCCATCTTGAGGGGCCAGGTATTGGCAGGCCTTCCTGTGTAAACCGGGCCCTACTGGCCTCCCTATGGTGGTGGCAGGCCTTGGCGGGCACCCCACAGTGGCGGTGGAGTCAGACCTCCTCATGGTGGTGACTGGCCTCAGCAGGTCTCATGGCCTCCTCCCACTGTGTGTGACATCGTACGTGTGTCTCACATGTGCGGCATCATGCGTATGCGACAAGCCCCACCCAATGTTGGGCGGAACTCAGCACCTCTATTTGAGAGAGAGAGAGGGTCTTTTCAGTGGCTGCTCCCATATTGTGGAATTCCCTCCCAAGAGAAGTCAGACTGGCTCCTCTTTGCTGTCCTTTCATCAGCCGGCTAAGACTTTCCTTTTCAAGCAGGCCTTTGAAAATTAAGGTGCAGATGATGCTGACAACTGGGCCACTATCAGGGCAAAGTGTCTTTAATTGCTCGCTTTAAATGAGCTTTGATGTAGCTTCCTTCAGGGCTGCCATATTTCGAAAAGTGAAAATCTGGACTCGAAAGTTGTTGAGCAACACTTCCGATATGGGCTGCCATTTTCAAAAATTCCACCCGGACGCCATTTTCGATGGATGAATCCCAGCTATGTCCAGGAAATTCTGAATGTATGGCAGCCCTGGTTTACTTGCTGTTTTTAACTAGTTTGTGTTTATTACTTTGTATTTCATAATGACGTTTTTAAATATTGTAAGCCACCCCGAATCCCAGCTTTGGAAAAAGGTGGGGCATAAATATATTAAACAATAAAATATTAAATATATTAAGCTCTCTCTCTTTCTCTGGACGTCGTTGGACTAAAACTACCACCTGCCTGACAGTTGCCAGATTACCTGGTGCTGATGGGAGTTGGAGTCCAACAGCATCTGAAGAACACAGGTAGGCGAAGGCTGACCTGTACAATTCTATGACTCTTCCATTTCAACTTTCAAGTCCCTCTCTAGGAGGTCACTTATGTGGGCCAAGCAGGCTGTATGCAATTGCAATTCTACCCATAGGTCTCAAATAATCCTTGCTGCAATTTTCATGCTATTGCAGGGCTGAAGGAGGCTAAGTCCAAACTTGCAGAAGACACTTGGGGTGTAAAATCGTGGAAGTGATCAGAACGAAACACGGTGCCACCCAGGTGAAAATTACACCGTTGGAATTTTAAACAAACAAACAAACTCATACAGACTGGGATTGTTCGAAATAATGACAGTCTCCTTTGGCAAATCATGCTGGGGATCAACAAATAAAGCCAGACAAACCCACATAGGATGGAGAAACACCTGGAGTAGAAGGTATAAATAAAGATCGCTTTGGACAGAATCCCCACGGAGCTGTCATGATGAGCTGTATCTCTAGCTTCAAGCAGACTTCTACCTGTGGTGGTGGTGGCGGTGGCAGTGGAGGAGGAGGGTCTTCCTCAGTCTCCTCTAGGAGAAACACTTCCTCCATGAGAAAAAGTCAAGGGTTTTCTGGTGGAAGTTATAGTGGAGGAAGATCTGGCTCTGGAGGAGGGATATGCCATAGCATGCCTGGAGGGTTTGGTGGTGGGTTTGGTGGTGGGCATAGCTATGGGGGTGGGAGTGGCTTCAGTGGTGGGAGTGGCTTTGGTGGCGGTGGCTTTGGTGGCGGTGGCTTCGGAGGCAGCTCTGGGGCGTTTGGGTTTGGTGGCGGCGACGATGCTGGGTTCCTCTCCAACAACGAGAAGAGCACCATGCAGAACCTCAACGACCGCCTGGCCTCTTACCTCGACCAGGTGCGGAACCTGGAAGCAGAGAACAACCAGCTGGAGCACCTGATCGAAGAGTGGCATCGGAAGCATGGGCAGAGCGGCACACCGAAAGACTACAGCTCTTACTACGACGAGATTGACAAGCTTTCCCACGAGGTAGCGTAATCGCCCTTCCCCATCAGAGTTTCTAGCTGGGGCAATCTGAGTAAGGTCCACTATTTGATTGCTGATTCAGGACCCTAAAGTGTTTTATATAATCGACTTTTTATTTTGTTCTGCGTACATCCCAACGTTCTTTGGTTGCTATGGCCGGTGGCTGACGCAAATAAAGTTTCATTCGCCCTTCCCCATCAGTTTTGAATCTTGGAGAGGGGCTTCTGTTTGGGCTCCGACTAAGAAGGTCATTTGGGGAACACTGCAAAAAGCAGGCAACATCTTCTCAAATCCAGTAGAATGGGGATTATAGTGAATGGATTGTGAGAACTGCTCAACAGCAAGGATGAAGGAGGACTCCAGATGGTCTACATTTTAAAGCGAACCAAACCATATTAAATTATTCCAGATTTATACATATGGAGAAAAGTGTATTTTAGGGAAAGAGTTTTTTAAAAAATATATATGAAAAAAATGTGTTACTTTAGGGGTAGAATGCATATAAAATACGCACAATTTTGATGTGAGTTGTGTGTGTGTGTGTTTAAAAACAATTCACAAAAAGAAAAAATCAGGGAACAGATCTATGACTAAAATAGAGCCTTGGGGAAAAGTTTCCATTGGTTCTTTTTTAAGAAGATTATTGTCACATACCAACCCTCACTGGTGCCAGTGAATACTTTTTCCTTAAGGCACCTAGGACTCAGCTACATTAGTCAAGAAACAGCGTTTTGGCTGCATTATAAACATGCAACACCAGATGGTGGTGGTGAGCAAAAAAAAAAATCTAAGCGATTTTCCATAGCGGTTTTTTCCTGTTGTTATAACGATTTAATTTCTTACTTTTTATAGAGTCCCCCCCCCCCGTGTGTAGATCCACCCCTAGTGACATGTCTGTTTTGTTCAGATCGCAATGGGGAGGGACATAAGAATATAATAAAGGCCTTGCTGGAACAGGCAAAAGGATCACCTCTTACAGCATCCTGTTCTCATAGATGCCAGTGGGAAAACCACGAGTGCAATGGCATTCTCCCATTTTGCCATTTCCAGCAACTAGTATTTTACTTTATTGCATGTATTTTTCCATAAACTTTATGTACCGCTTGATGGGGGGGGGGAGGGGTTTGCAAAAGGTAAAAAATTAAGAAAAAATAACAACCCTACTTTGAAACATACAAAAGCTGAAATACTAAAAGAGATAAAAATTGCCTCTACTTTCTAAGCACTTCCTCTACCTCTCCCCTCCCTTTATATCCTGTGAGCCTCCCTAAATCTGTTTTGGCGTTTTCCTCTGGAGCAGATTTGGGAAGGGTGCGGGGCACGTAGGAGAGGAAGCTCCATAGCGAAAGTTGAAATTCTTACACCTGCAGATCTACTTTGTTGGATGCCACCCTACAGAATGAGAAGGAGAATGAATTGGCTTGCTTGAGGTCCCACCAGCTTGTAGTATCCTAGAGGAAAGCACGACTGCTTCAATTAAATGTGGGGAATGTGGGGAAGAGCTGTGGCTCGATGGCGGCCACAAGTTTTAAATAACATCTAGTTAAGCACTAATGGCAACAACCAGAATGTCAATCAGAGTGTCAGCTTTCCATACATGATTATTATTATTATTTTTTAAAAAGTGATGATTTGCGTCAGGTACTTCTTCCCTTTGTTTCACTGTGGGAAATATGGTGGTCCCGAATCCTTAGCAACCAAGTGTGCCCTTTACCTTCTTGCAGCTGGTCGATGCCGTGGCCGAGAGTAACAAGATGCTCCTGGACATCGATAACACAAAGATGGCTGCTAATGACTTCAAGATGAAGTAAGCCCATTATACAGCGTTGCTTCCTATTAGGCCACATCCACACCCATGCTCTTATACCACTTTAAACAGCCATGCCTTCTCTCAAAGAATCCTGGGAACTGTAGTTTATTATGGGTGCTGTGAGCTCTTAGGAGACCCCTATTCCTCTCATAAAGCCAGTGCTTTTTTTCCTGGGGGTACACAGAGGCACGCACACCCCTTAACATTTTGTGAATCTAAGTTTGGCCTCATTGAGGGGCAGTATTTCAATATGAGTAGGAAAATGAGAGTACCCCTAAGCGGTTTTTATATATATAGAAAAAAAGCACTGCATGAAGCTATTATTCCCAGAACTCCCCATCGTTCACCCTGGACACTGAGGTCCAGCTCCGAGGGCCTTCTGGCGGTTCCCTCACCACGAGAAGCGAGGTTATAGGGAACCAGGCAGAGGGCCTTCTCGGTAGTGGCGCCCACCCTGTGGAACGCCCTCCCATCAGATGTCAAGGAAATAAATGTTTAGAAGACATCTGAAGGCAAGTTTAGGGAAGATTTTAATGTTTGACCTTTTATCGCTGTTGTTGTTGATATTGATATTCTATTGGGAGCCACTCAGGGTGACTGGGGAAACACAGCCAGATGGGTGGGGTTTGTATGTATGTACAGTGGCACCTCGGGTTTCATACGCTTCAGGTTACATACGCTTCAGGTTACAGACTCTGCTAACCCAGAAATATTACCTCGGGTTAAGAACTTTGCTTCAGGATGAGAACAGAAATTGTGCAGTGGCGGCGCAGCAGCAGCAGGAGGCCCCATTAGCTAAAGTGGTGCTTCAGGTTAGGAACAGTTTCAGGTTAAGAACAGACCTCCGGAACGAATTAAGTACGTAACCAGAGGTACCACTGTATGTATGTATAAAATAATCCCTGGGAAGAGGGATTGATGGTTAAACCACTCTGGTTCCATAAACAATATCAGCAAATGAAACCATAAAATCATTAAATATCTTTGCAGCTACAGCAAATTCCCATAGACTATACTTCAAAACAATGATACTTTATCAGGATGAGAAAATGTGTGTGAGTGTTTTGCTTTGAGCATTTGCTGCGCACAGTTGTATATTTCTATCTTGCTTTTCCTCCCGGCCGTTCAAGTGACTTTCCCAAAGACCTCTGTGATTGGGCAGAGACGTAAGGAATTAGGCAGTGCTTGAGGTATCCTGGACCGTAAATACTTCTGGCCTTGTAAATTAAGACAAGAAGCTTGCATTCCTGCCTTGCTTTTCCTCTCAGGTACCCAAGGTAGTGTAAATTATGCTCCCTCTCCCCTTTTATCTTTACAACAACCCAGTAAGGCAGGCTAGGCTAAGCTGGACACATGTACAGAAACAGAAGTTCCTATCAGTTGATGGCAGTGAGGTTGGGGGGGGGGGCAAGAAGATGCAGGTAGCTCAATCCAAATCCAGTGTACCAGCCTCTGGAAATCCTGTTGGCATCCCTGGAATTTAGGATTGGTCCCTGAGAGCCACAACAGCAACCAAATAGTTTTGTCACAAACAAAATGGATCGCTGCAGATTGCGTCTTTGTTGCCTTTCAGACTAACTTCCTTGGCTTTCTTAGGTATGAGACAGAGGCTGGTCTTCTCCAAAGCGTAGAGGCTGATCTGCAAGGTTTACGTCCGCTTTTGGATAAGCTGACTTTGGAAAAGTCTGACCTGGAGATGGAGTATGAATCCCTGCAGGAAGAGCTGAGCCATCTTAAGAAAAACCACAGTGAAGTAAGAGCCGCCCACCCCCCTCTTGCCTGGAATGAAATCCAAGGCCTTTGGAAGACACGTGTTAAATTTCAGAAAGGAAGTTTACATCTTCTTCCTCCCTGCACTGGGATCTTCCAATATTTTTGTGAAATCCCAGAATATACCAGCAGCTTATTTCCCACTAGTATGGGAATAAAGGACACAGCAGCTCTGGCCTGGTGGTAACTCTTGGGAACTTTAAAACAGAGGAGAGAACTGCTAACTCCTAGGCAAGGTTCAGGATCCTGCCCACAAAGGATTCCCCCCCCCCGGCTCCCCAGAAACCCATCAATTTTGCACATAGTGTGTGCATAGCTTTTGCAGAATTGGGAATTGTGGGCGTGAAATTGCTGCACATATCAATGCCCAGTCAAAACTGAGCTCAAAGAAGGATGCAGTCTAACCACACTCCATTGTTTTGAATGGGATACGCTCCATCACTTTGAATGTGACTATGTCAGTGGGAGAGATGGGAAGCAGAATTTACTCCATCACCTCTGCTGTAACAGCCCAGCTACACTGCATACCTCTTGCCCCTGAACTTTTTTTTAATCTTTATTAATTTAAAATAAATACATTTATGAGAAAACAGACGTGCATACAAGTAAACAAACATACAATCAATCAATCAATCAATCAATCAATCAAATAACAGAAAAATCAAACAAACCACCATACTATAAGATATAAGAAGATTAATATAATTATTGCCATATATACTCCTGATACTGAACACAATTATAAAACTTATAGAGAAGAAATTTAAAACTGACTTCCAATTAATCTCACTGTACTTTCTCTATCCATTACTTTATACCGCACAGTTACATATTTCTTATATAGTTTCTTTTTACCTCCCTACGAACTTATATTTATACAATACAGGCATCAGTCTAATTCTGCCAAGTTGTTTCCTTTTATTCCATAGTTTTCTAAATATTCTTTAATATTTAGAACTGTGCCAGCTGGTCATTATAAGAAAAGCTGTTTGAGAATTGGTGCCTGAGTTTTGTTTCCCCCTCTTCCCTCCCTGTCCATTTTCTCGTGTGTCTTTTATTTATTTATTTATTTATTTATTGTAAGCCTGTGGACAGGGACTGTCTTGCTTTAACTGACTGTATGTGAGTCACTCTGGAAGTATTTTTGGCTGAAGGGTGGGGTACAAATGCCCTAAATACTGAGCACCCACCACCCGCCGACTCAGAAAACCATTTACACATTAGTGTGCCTAAGGAAGTGCGCCCACTGTGTGTGCCGGGAGGGTCTCAATGTTTTATTTGTTTTGGACATGCAGGTAAAGAACAGTATGCAACACCAGTCCGGTGGGGATGTCACTGTTGAGGTTGATTCCAAGCCTGGAGAGGATCTGAAAAAGAGACTGGATGATCTGAGACATGAATATGAACAGATCATTCAGCAAAACCGCAGAGAGGTCGAACAATGGTATGAGGCTAAGGTGAGTAACCCCGGGAGAGCAAGGAACAGGGTCAAACGATGCTTCTTCGCAGCCTACCCCACCTCTAAAAGAAAGAAAGAATTTTAAATCATTAGGGGTCTGACACAAGGAAAAGGTACCCAGTTGCTTGCCTACTTGTAGGTAGCTGTGTGGGGAGCAAACACTGGAATCTGTAGCACAGTCATAAATTGATTTATGATCAATTTACGTTTCCGAGCACAATTCAAAGTGTTGGTGCTGACCTTTAAAGCCCTAAACGGCCTTGGTCCAGTATATCTGAAGGAGCGTCTCCACCCACATCATTCTACCCGGACGCTGAGGTCCAGCACCGAGGGCCTTCTGGCAGTTCCCTCATTGCAGGAAGCCAAGTTACAGGGAACCAGGCAGAGGGCCTTCTTGGTAGTGGCGCCCTCCCTGTGGAACGTCCTCCCACGCCCTTGCCATCGCCCATCCTGCGCAGTAGCCTAAGGCGCAAAGAGGGGAGGAGAAGGTTGGGGGTAACGAAACTCTTATGTTGGGGAAGGTCCAATAAAAGACCATTCCTAGATTCTGCTAGCAATTGAGCCAGACATGAGCTTTGGGGCTCTTCACTGTAAATAGTTTGCACCAAAATAAAACCTATAAAACACAGGTTGGAGTCCTGCCTGGTTACTCTCCAGCAACCGCAACAGCCATCTGACACTAGGGATCATTATCAGAAGATGTTCAGCACCCTCACCCAGCTACAGTTCCCAAGTTCTTTAGGAAACTGAATCAAATCGATGTAGCTTGATAGTGTAAGCATGCCTTTAGCACTCAGGGTGTAAAACGATACCTTTCCAGTACTTTCCCCAAGTGCCCTCACTTCAGCCATTGAAAATCCAGTGTGTAATTGAACTATGGAACAGGCTCCCACAGCAGGCAGGGATGGCAAACCAGCTTGGGTGGCTTTGAAAGAGGATTAGACAAAGCCACAGAGGACAAGCAAGAGGAGAATGCTAATATCCCTGATGGCCATGTTCTACTTCCTCTATTGGAGGTCATGTGACGCTGAATACTATGACTCTGAAACCACAGGAGGGGAGCGTGCTATTGTGCTCATGGCTTACTTGTGGGCTTCCTAAAGGGATCTGTTTGGCCACTGTAGGAAATCGGAAACTGAATTAGATGGGCCTCTGTTCTGACCTGGCAGGCTTCTTATACACCTTGAAACCCAAACGCCTTACAAGTTGAACATTTTGGCTCCTGAACGCCGCAAATCCGGAAGTGAGTGTTCTGGTTTGCGAACGTTCTTTGGAACCTGAATGTGCGATGGGGCTTCCACAGCTTCCAATTGGCTGCAGGAGCTTCCTGCAGCCAATAATAATAATAATAATGATAATAATAATTTGTTGTTTATACCCCGCCCATCCGGCTGGGTTTCCCCAGCCACTCTGGGTGGCTTCCAACAAAAGATTAAAATACAATAATTCATCAAATGTTAAAAACTTCCCTGCACCTTGGTTTCCAAACATTTTGGAAGTCAAATGGCCTTCCGAAATGGATTACGTTCAACTTCCGAGGTACCACTCATTAAGATTTGAGACGAGGTTAGTAACATACGCATTGCATATTTAGAAATATTATTGAAAAAAATACATCGTTACTGTTGTCACCGAAGTGTGAAAAACACAGATATTCCCATCTTTTAAATTAATGATATTTATTAAGTTTGGGCAGGGGGAAATAAACAAATTGTCCATTATTTCAAGTGTCTGCATAGGAACAACTATGAAAATCCAGCAAAGTTGCCATTCCTCTGTTTTGCACAACACATTCTGCTCATTTCCCCCCACTTTGATTTGGAACGTGTATATTTGCGGAAGGCCCGATTCATGGCCCTCTGTTTGTGTTTTCCAGATGGAGGAATCTCGTCAGCAAGAAAAGTCGAGCGACCAGGAGATTGGGACCGGTAGCAAAGAAGTGATGGAGCTCAGTCAGCAATATCAAACCCTGGAAATTGAGCTGCAGTCGCAGATCAGTTTAGTGAGTCACAGCTTCCAATTCTGCGTCATCATTCCGTAGAACTAGTCTCAGTTGCTTGAAGCTGTTGGGATCTTTTGGTGCAATGCAGCTTCACACCATACCAGAAAGAAGGCTATGCTAGATGTTAAATTGTGGGTGAACATATCAGACGACACCGCGATTCTTCAAACAGCTCTTGTTTATTCACAGGCCAGAACAGAACTGAACTGAAGAGCTCAGTCAGCCTGCTTATATACAGCTCCAGTACAACATAACTGTAACAACTTTCTGTAACTATCCAATCACTGAACGTCACTTTTGATGCCTTATTTGCATATGTGGACCTGAGTAAAATATATCTACAGTATCCCCCTGCTGGCCCAGGGTGAGAACTTCAGTACATGACACCTAATGTGGAACAGGAGTGGGGACACTTTGCCCCCCCCCAATGTTGCTGTTCTAAATCTTCCATCAGCCCTGGCCATTGGCCATGCTTGCTAGGGCTGATGGAAGTTGTTCAGCAACATCTGAAGGGTCAAATGGTCCCCACACCTGATATGCAGGAATGAATGAACAAAGCTAGGCCTATGTTTTGCCCCTGCTCTTGAAGGCTTTGTATTTGCTTTGCAGCTCCAGTCTCTGCAAAACAACCTGAACGACACAGAAGGACGCTACAACATGCAGCTGCAGCAGATCGTGAGCCTTGTTGAGCCCCTGGAACATGAGCTGGCCAGTATTAAGTATGAGATCCAGAATCAAAGCCAGGAGTACCAGACACTCCTTGGCATCAAGACCCATCTGGAGGGGGAGATCAACCAGTACCGTCAACTGCTTGAGGAAGGGAAGCACCTTGCGTATGTAGAATTCACACAGGAATGAGTCAAATAATACGCCCGTTGCTATTTGGTGCAATGCAGGATTGTGGGAGAAATGGCCCCTGAGAAGCTTCTCCTGGAGAACATCTCTCCCAAAAACTTGCAATTTTTACGCATTAAACCTCTTGAGCGCTTATTCTCCTGCAAGGCTCTTTATGACCTCTTGATTCACTTTCACAACAAACCTTTGAAACTGGATGATAGATTGAGGAAGTGCAACTGACAATTGAAATTTCCAGACCCCACTCTACAACCCTATTCACTGGACCAGACTGGTTTGTAAAAGTAAAGGCGCCCCTGATTGTTAGGTCCAGTCATGGACGACTCTGGGGTTGCAGCGCTCATCTCGCTTTATTGGCTGAGGGAGCCGGCGTACAGCTTCTGGGTCATGTTTCCAGCATGACTAAGCCGCTTCTGGTGAACCAGAGCAGCGCACAGAAACACCGTTTACCTTCCCGCCGGAGCAGTACCTATTTATCTACTTCACTTTGACGTGCTTTTGAACTGCTAGGTTGGCAGGAGCAGGGACCGAGCAATGGGAGCTCACCCCGTCGTGGGGATTCAAACTGCCAACCTTCTGATCAGCAAGCCCTAGACTCTGTGGTTTAGACCACAGCGCCACCCGTGTCCCAGACTGGTTGGTACTCAGTGGTAAATCCGGCTAAAAATGCCATGCTCCAGTAGACATGCCCTTTACTGGTTCCAGGGCCAGAGAGGAGGGTGGGCACATCTCCTGCTCTATAATTTCTACCCAATCCCAGTTTTGACCCCAGGTCCATGCCAAATTTTGATCCAGTGAATCTTTAGTCACTGGCAAATGTGAACAATTTTTGCTCTTCTGCTTCCTGAAATCCTTTTGAATATCTAAATATACACTTCTTCCTCAAATAAGAGACTTTCCTGCACTTTTGTGCCTGGTGAGATAAATTGATGCCATAAATTACAGGTAGCCTTGGGATTCTGTTTTGTGGGGTAGACGTTAAATTGTACGTTTTCTTGGTGTCATAGAAGGCAACTGCGCTAAATATCATTAACCTGTCAAATATTTTACTTTTAAACTTCCCATCCCTCACACCACAAACCTTCTGCATTCAACAGCATCTGTAATGAGGGATGTTGGGTAGCGGGAACTCTAAATTAGAAGATTTGATTTCGATCCAGACTGTTCTGCTTAGATCCCACCAAAATCAATGAAGCTTAAGTTTGTTGCTGTTTTGTTTATAGTTGTATATATATTGTGTGAATTGTTTCCCCACTTTTGTGGACTACCCTGGAATCTTCTGATGAAGCATAGTTATGCTTTGAATAAAATAAGCCAACTCTAACTTTTCACATTGATATCAAGGAGAGGCAAGTTGACCTACTTAGTTGCAGCCATCCCACTGTGTTTAAATTTTGGCAAACAAATATGAACTTGGGCAATCTGCTCAAAATATCACTGTACTCTTTATCACCCACGTTATTTGATTCAGGCTGGGGCACAATGATAGAGCAAAAAAATGATATAAATACAAAAGAGTAGCTTCTGTCAAATCATGCAGCTGATATCTCTCTTCCCCCATCTAAAATAACACCTCTTTTTATTTACCAAAGGGCTTATATAGGGCAAGGAGGAGGTGGATCATCTGGTGGAAGTTCAGGAGGAGGACGATCATCTGGTGGAATGTCATATGGAGGAAGTTCTAGAGGAGGAGGAAGTGGAGGAGGACAATCTCCTGGTGGAATGTCATATGGAGGAAGCTCTAGAGGAGGAGGAAGTGGAGGCCAGCAATCTCCTGGTGGAATGTCATATGGAGGAAGCTCTAGAGGAGGAGGAAGTGGAGGAGGACAATCGCCTGGTGGAATTTCACAAGGAGGAAGTTCTAGAGGAGGAGGAAGTGGAGGAGGACAATCGCCTGGTGGAATTTCACAAGGAGGAAGTTCTAGAGGAGGAGGACAATCGCCTGGTGGAATTTCACAAGGAGGAAGTTCTAGAGGAGGAGGAAGTGGAGGCCAGCAATCTCCTGGTGGAATGTCATATGGAGGAAGTTCTAGTGGAGGACGACAATCTCCTGGTGGAATTTCTCAAGGAGGAAGTTCTAGAGGAGGAGGAAGTGGAGGAGGACAATCGCCTGGTGGAATTTCTCAAGGAGGAAGTTCTAGAGGAGGAGGAAGTGGAGGAGGACAATCGCCTGGTGGAATTTCTCAAGGAGGAAGCTCTAGAGGAGGAAGTGGAGGCCAGCAATCTCCTGGTGGAATGTCATATGGAGGAAGCTCTAGAGGAGGAGGAAGTGGAGGCCAGCAATCTCCTGGTGGAATTTCACAAGGAGGAAGTTCTAGAGGAGGAGGAAGTGGAGGAGGACAATCACCGGGTGGAATTTCACAAGGAGAAAGTTCTAGAGGAGGAGGAAGTGGAGGCCAGCAATCTCCTGGTGGAATGTCATATGGAGGAAGTTCTAGTGGAGGACGACAATCTCCTGGTGGAATTTCTCAAGGAGGAAGTTCTAGAGGAGGACGACAATCTCCTGGTGGAATTTCTCAAGGAGGAAGTTCTAGAGGAGGAGGAAGTGGAGGCCAGCAATCTCCTGGTAGAATTTCACAAGGAGGAAGTTCTGGAGGAAGTGGTGGCCATTATCAATCTTCTCCCTCATCTCAAAGCAGGCCTTCATTATGTCACAGCCATTCATCCACCCAATCCCAGTCTGGCTCTTACGAAGAGCAAGGTAAGAAGAACCATACCATGTTTATTATTTATTTATTAATTTTTTTTAAAAAAAACACAAAAATGATCAAAGCAGTTTACAATAGTAACTATATATAATAAAAACAATTAAAAAATTAAAAATCAGACACCATCAGCTAAAAATCTCATGCCTGCATAATCTTTGCAGAAAGAAAAGTTTTTGTTTAAAGGTGTTTAAAGGTTCTGAACTTCCTGTAACCAGTCTTTCTTGTCTTGGAAACATCGATTTAACCTTTCTCAATCTATGCATTTCTGTAACAGGATGTATACAACTGTGTGTATACATACCGTATTTTTCGCCCTATAGGACGCACTTTTTCCCCTCCAAAAATGAAGGGGAAATGTGTGTGCGTCCTATGGGGCGAATACAGGCTTTCGCTGAAGCCTGGAGAGCGAGAGGGGTCGGTGCGCACTGACCCCTCTCGCTCTCCAGGCTTCAGGAAGCTCTGCGCAACCCTCGGGAGCCCTGATCCCCCATCCTTTGTTTTTATAGTTACTTGAGTGGGGCAGAATGTTAGAAAGAGGAGTAACAATGGAAGAAATGGGAGAAGCCAGAAAGGCCAGAAAGTCTCCTAAGATTTCGGGCTATGTGTGGTTTCTCTGACTCTATCTCGGTCTTGTTCCTGAGTGGTTCGTTGGTGACCACTGAGCCTTTAAAATGCAGAAACATGTTCCTCTCTCTTTCAATAGACTATTCACCGACGTATTAAGGCATGACGACATCTCCCTCTTCCAAATAAAAGAACGGATTGAAGCAAGAGCAAAGAGCAAGAAACAATTCTTCTTCCATTTGACCGATACTGCTGATAGCATGAAAGTGGGGCCGGTCCCAAATGCACGCCCCTCCCCCTGCAACCCTTGGCATCCCTTCCAAAACTATATGATTCTATAACATTTTCCAGATGTACTTAGTTGCTGCAGCCTTGTTGGGTACCATCTTTAGACTGAGCTGCAAAGCAAGAAAAGGGACGTTCTATGTGTTAAATCGGCATATACAAGGCTATGTCCAACTATTGTCCAAAATAGCGCTGCAACGGAAGCCAATATGCATAACAAAATGTGCGCTTTAACATACCTGAAATGAAATGGCACACGCCTTCGGAATTAAGCAGAGGTTTTGAATTAGAATCTTCTTACATTTCAAAAATTTATTATACTTTTGAAATTTCACTTAAAAAGAAAGAAACTAAACCCTTAAGTAGATTAACTTGCCCCAACCTATATCTGCCATCACAGCATATGTGATCAAGAAAGTTCAGGAAATTTAGGTGAATATACATTTGGATTTTCATAAACAAATTGGAGTCCCGCATTGTCTAACCTCTCTTGTGTAGGTGGCAAGGACATAAAGGGTGTGTACATGATGGATTCCCTTCCTGCCACTGATGTACACCTGCTTTTCCCATTCTCTGCAATCTTCTCTGTGCTTGCACCTCTAATAAAAGTTTACTTCTGCATAAAGCAATCGGGAATCTGGGTTTCCAAAGTGATTCTGTTTCACAAATGTTGCTTCTGGCTGCCTGGCTGTTTTGTAACCATGAGGTACAGAGTTGGAAAGGCAGTTTCAGAAGTGTGCTCCTTCTCGAAGTCTCGCAGCATCTGGGAGTGGAGGTGTTGCCACCAAGCTGATATCACCCACACCCACACCCCCCCTTGTGACAAACAAGCCTAGGCACACAGGGGTAGAGGGGTAGAATAATGGTTTCAGATCTTTGGCTCCTGGGCAACCAGAAGCTGGGGTCGCTCAGGCCCTGACACTATCAGTGGTGCAGAAACCTATCAGGCGGACATATCCTTAGGAACAGTGACAGAACTGGCAGGGCTTGTCAGAAAGAGAGAGCTTGAGGGAGGGGGTGGCAGAGAGTGAAAAGGAGTGACTCCTCCCACTTTGGGCTCTGGCCCCACCCACCACTAGCTTTGGCCCCACCCTGGGCCAGATTTAGATTTGATTTGAAAGAAGTTGTAGGCTGTGCCTCTTCAGATGGCAGAATATCTTCTCGTGCAAAAATACGGAGAACCATTTTAGCAGTACTCATTTCCTGCTCTGCTAGTCCTCTGCTTAGGAGGATTCTGCCTCCCTTACAGAAGCATTTAAAAATGTCACACCCAGGGCCGAATTTAGGTTTGATGAGGCCCTAAGCTACTGAAGGTAATGAGGCCCTTTATATGTCCAGCTGTCCTTTGTCAACAACAAATTATCACTGTTTTTTGTGTTGAATATATGCTATATGGTAATTTATGGACCTAATAGGTATCTAAAGCCATTTGCGCATGTTGCCATGCATCCAGTCCATGCAGAATGTAGGCACCCTATATATATAGAAAGGAGCAAACCAGTGATATTTTAGGGAGCAGGCTAGCAGGTGGGGTTCATTACTTACATCATAGGAGCCTACACAACACAAAACACTGTTGCTGTATATAGGTTTTATTTTATTTGTTTTTTATTTAATATTTTGGAAATGTACATCCAGTTTTTTTCTTTACATTTTTTGGGGCCCCCAAGAGAGTGGGGCCCTAAGCTATAGCTTGTTTAGCTTATACCTAAGTCCGGCACTGGCCCCACCCATAATTGTCATGTGTGAGGAGCACAGACTAGCCCTAAGGAATAGGGGAGGGTTGCCTACATCACAGCAGCAAAAGGAGCATGCACATAATTCCTTCGAACCTTTCCAATACATTTTTAATTGACCAAGGATTGTGTCCAGGATCCAGGTCCACCAGCAACAAGGAAACATTGCCCCCCCTTTTTTAGAGTGAAGCATTGTGGGAGTTGCCGAGTCATGAAGCTGGTGATTGCCACATAGCTTAATCCTCTGATGGTGCAATGGATACTGGCAGCCTGATCTCTTTTGCAGCCCCGCCAATAGCCCCACCCAAAATTAAAATGGCATCATGCATATCTGGAGAAACTTGAGATGGAGCACGTTGCTGGGTTGTCCTTATATGAAGTTGCAGGTGATGAGCGTTCCACCCAGCGGTCCCTTTGCTTCCTTGCACCAGTTGGCATGGCCATGTATGCCTGAAGACTGCAGTTGCCACATACCTTCCTTGCTGCTGCCCCCCGTAAACTAAGATGGATGTTGGAGAGGCCTTGTGGTAGAGGTGTCCAAACACAGAATCAGAGAATTGTAGAGTTGAAAGAGACCCAGAGGATCATCTAGTCCATGTATCAATGCGATCCAATTTTTTTGAAAGGGGTTCAGGGAGGTTACCCCAGTGAGATTTGAGTCCCCTAAATAATTTTGTCATGTCACTTGCGAATATGCCACATCACCTTAAAATCACCTATATCCTAGGAACATAAGGAACTGTCTTATACCAAGTCAGGTCACTGCTCCATCTAGCTTGGCACTCTTGATGCTGACAGGCAGCAGCACCCCAGGGATTCGGGCAAACGTCTTCCCCAGCCCCATCTGGAGACACCTGGGTTTGAACCCAATGCCTTCTGCATGCAAAGCATGTGCTCTGCTACTGAGCCACAGCCTCCCCCCAGAGCCTAACACAGACATTTTATACTGAAAACATCTCTGTTTCATCAGAAGGAAATCCCAGAATCTCCCTAGGAAAATGCCTCTTAGGGCCAGTTGCCACAGACTCTAGGTAGTGTTGCCAAACCTCCAGCTCTGACCTGAAGTCTCCAGGTTTGCCTGTCCCGCTCCAGGTGGGTGAGAGTGCCTTTAAGAATAATTTAAAATAATTAAGAAGATTGTGCATACAACTTGCAAGATTCAGCTTAGCAACAGCTAGCTCCAAATTGTAGCACAGATACTCTTTTGGGAGCTGGCTTCCTCCACTCCCCTCTCCCAATTAACCCCCATCTCCAGGGCCCACCTCAATGACACCTTCAGGAACTGCCCCTAGGTCTCAAGTTTGGGCCCTGAAATTTCAGGGTCTGGGATGCTCCTGACCTTGCAACTCTACGTCCAGGTGTGTTGTGACTGTGAGTCTTGAGCTCATACACTCTCTCCTTTCCTCGCCACACATTAATTCTAATTTAAACCCAGTATTCAAGCCACATTTTCCAGCTGCCTTCCTGCTTCTCTCCCTCCAGTTGTGGGCTTGAAAGCCAACAGTCAGGATCTTTTATAAGGCAGTGTCAGAGAACACCTCCAGTTCTTTCCTCCAAACACACCTCTATGACTGGAGAATGATCAGGCTGAGACGCAGCCACAGCAGAAACTCTGGAGGATGCTCCAGAATGCAGAAATAAAGGAACAAAGAGTGAGAACGAGGACGCATCATTTTGCAATTAAGTTTATCTTATTAACACTAATGACACACACCCTGTCTGCTGAATCCTTCCCTTGCCCATCCCTTTGACTCCACCTTTATCTGCCTTCACGATCAACATCGGCCTCTGCTTTGCTCTGCCGACTCAAGATGCCATTTGCTTCATGGTTTGATTGTGTGTGGTTTTTTTGCCCAGGTATGTCCTTCTCTAGTGGTTTCTCTCTACTCCTGCAATGACAAGGTTAACCATGGCCAACAACTTCATTTAACTTCAATGCAACAAGTTCTGCAACACTCCTGTCACTGAGCAGCACCACGGATCATGCCTGCAGCTGCCCCTGCCTTGAGTCGGGGCAAGGAGTGGGAAGACCTACATGCCTGGCCAGTGTGTGTGGATTCCACAATAGCTGGCTAAGCTATGTTGCAAACAACACATACGTGAACTGACTGACTGGTTCCAACATTCCAAAGCTCCTGCCTATGGCCATCACAGGCTTGATTTTGAGCTAACTAGGCTGAGCTAGTGTGCCTGTGAGGCTGAACAGGTTTCTTTGCTGAGCCAATGCTTAGGATGGGGGGGGGGGAATCCGCTTCTGTTTGTTCAAATCCCACCTCCCACTGCTTCAAGGCAAGATCTACACCAGCTCCTTCAATCTAGAGCAAAAGTTGCAAACCTGATGCAGACCCTCCAAGTGTCCCTATTTTCCAGGGGCAGATCTGGATTTACAGAAGCCTTCCTGGTTTCTGATTTGATCCCAAATGCCCTGCTTCTCCTTAAAAAGGTAAAGGGACCCCTGACCATTAGGTCCAGTCACGGACAACTCTGGGGTTGTGGTGCTCATCTCGCTTTATTGGCCGAGGGAGCCGGCATACAGCTTCCGGGTCATGTGGCCAGCATGACTAAGCCGCTTCTGGCGAACCAGAGCAGCACACGGAAACACCGTTTACCTTCCCGCCAGAGCGGTACCTATTTATCTACTTGCACTTTGATGTGCTTTCGAACTGCTAGGTTGGCAGGAGCAGGGACCAAGCAACGGGAGCTCACCCCGTCGCGGGGATTTGAACCGCCAACCTTCTGATCGGCAAGCTTTAGGCTCTGTGGTTTAGACCACAGCGCCACCCACATCCCTTTCCTTAGGACACCCCTATTTTCATCAGAGAAATGTTGGATGGTATGATAGGATGTTCATATTTTTATTGGATAAATGTTGGAGGGTATATAGAGTTATGCAGCCCCTGAGTCAAGGAGATAAGTAACTATACAACCTGTAGAAGACATCTGAAGGCAGCCCTGTATAGAGGTTTTTTTAATGTATATCTATATACATATATGTTGGAAGCCACCCAGAATGGCCGGGGCAACCAAGTCTGGTGGTAGGGGTAAGGGGTATTAACAACAACAGCAGCAGCAGAAATAATAATAATAATAATAATAATAATAATAATAATAATAATGGAATAGGACGTCCCTATATTTCTATATAGAAATGTTGGAGGATATACTGATGTTCTCCAGATGTTGGACTTCTACTAACCCTGACCCTAGATCTTGCTAGCTGGGGTTTATAGAAGTTGCAGCTCAACAACATCTGGAGAGCATTACGTTGACTTCCCCTAGTCTAAATAAAGGTTGCCAACCAATTACTGATAAAACCACATTTAATTAGATAACCAGTGCTAGAATATGAAAAGCCAGCAAACTTCAGATTCTTTCCATCTCCACCTTGAACCCAAGAGATTCTTCCTGGCTTTGCACAGGACCCACCAAATCTTAGCTTCTACCTGATTCACTGGGATGTCCCTGCCCCGCCCCACCCACTTCCTGGCTCCATCCAGGAGGATGATGCTTTTGAAATGAAACGTTGCTAATCCTTTCAGTCTCCCTGCTTCAGGTCTTCAACACTTGTTAAAAACATCGGGAACTAAAACCACCCCTACTTTGCATAAAGCTTCCAGCTGATGACAAAGTTGCTTGCAAAAGACCCTTGCCGTCCTGCCACTGGAGATATTCTGAAAGGATGGAAGAACACACAGCCTCCACCACATGCTGTGAAATTTTGGAGCAAGAATCTGCAACATCTGTGGCCTCTTTGTCACACACATATTGATACACACATACACAGCAATTTTATACCTGCACTGCAGATATTTGTCATGAATATTCAAAGGATTACATGCCACCCATAATATCTATTATACTATGATTGCAGTTAGCAAAGCGCTCCTTTGATCCTTTCACGTAGGGTGTAGTGCCTGAGCACAAATTTTTGCCCTTCCTCCGCACCTTGATAATTTATATTTATATTATATTCTACACATCCACACCCCTTTCTGCTCTCCATACAGGCAAACTGGAGGCATTTTTAGATGTCATGGGCACATTCGAGAAAGGTGCAAAGCAGGGCTGGTGAGGGGCGTGAACTTGGGGTAGTGGGTGTGACTAGAGAGGAGATACCGCCTGAAGAGAGTCCCAAGGGCCACACAGTGAGTCTTTGAGGGCCACTCTCCCCCCCCCCAACTAGACAAACCAACAGTTTGATCCAGCGGGGCTGTTCTTATGTCCTTGTCCTTTGGCATGGCAGAGTAACCAAAGGAAGCAAGATTTACAGACATGTGCAACACAACAATCCTATAAGCAAATGTGTATTAAGGGATGTGCGTAAATGTCAACTCCCTCTCTCCAAAATTAAAGGTTTTAAAAGCATTGGCAAGAACTCAGCCAGGACCTCTCCAACCTGGTGCCCTCGAAATGTTTTGGGACTATAGCTCCCATCATCGCTGACTATTGGCCATGCTGGTTGCGGCTGATGGGAGATGTAATCTAAAATATTTGGAAGGCTGGACTAGGGAATGGAAGGAGGGGAAACTGGACCTTGGTGCAGAGTAAAGAAAATAATCCAAGGGAAGGTGGGATATTGAATTCCCACCCTCTGACCAGCCATTTCTCAGTACCTGAGATGTCAGGTACTACTAGGGTTGCCATATTCTGAAGATCAAAAAAGAGAACGCTATGACGACTCTCATTTTAAATACTTTTATTATATGTAGGCTATAGAAGCTGTGATATATTGCTGAGGGGGCAGGAGAAGAGAAGAGGAAAGCAAGTCTTCAACCACCAGTTATGTCTATCTCTCATCCAGAAAGTATAGCCACAGACATTTTGGCAAATTTTAAAAAATCCACTCGGACAGAAATTTTACCCCCGATAAAGAGGATGTGTCCGGAAAAAGAGGACACATGGCAACCTTAGGCTGCTCACGTCTTTCCAAGCTGTTACATGAAGGATTAGAAACTTGATTTTCTTTTTTCACAAAAGAGTAATGACCTTATTTCATTTGAGGATGCAGAGCTTCATACTTGCAAATGAATACTCTGAACGCAAACAGTTGTACCTGTAGGGCTTCATTTTTCTGTCTTCTGGACATTTTTTTTTTTTTTACTGCTATCATTTATAACACAGTTTAACTTTATAACTTATTATTACTGCTATTACTTTACAAGAGTTGGACCGCTACAGAATATTACAGCAGGTCATGCCAGGCCAGGCATGGATGGAGAATTCAAGTAAAGTACGCAACAAGACTGAGGTTAAGAGACTCTGTATTTTCCTGAGGTGGCAGCGTTTATTGCTGGGATGAGATTGTGCATAATTTGATACTGCAATTTAGTACACATTCATTAGGCTTATTATGAACTGTGTACCATCCTGTACTGTTTATTGCTTTGTGTTGCTTATTATTATGAGCTGTATTTATAATAACTGTTTTAATTTTGTATTGTACAGATGTTATGCCTCAATAAAATGTGGAGCCTAGTAACACCAGCTATTGTGTTGGGCGCAACTATAAAACATTTGTCTCAGAAGACACCTGGAAGAAGAAGGCGCCCAGCCTGATCAGGGAAACAAGTGTGGTTGGTTCATCTTAATTTCATTTTGCTACAAATACTTCTGCCCTTTGTGTGTGGGGCAGAGAATGCCTTTGGTTTAGAATTGGCTAACCCCCTGCCCAGGTGGGGGACCTGAACCCAGACCCCTATGCACATTCTTCTGTCCCACTAATTTCGGGCGCAGTGGCAAAAGGCAGAAAAATTAAAGAAGACACAGCCTCAAAGTAGGCGGAAGGGTTTAAATTTATTTCGTCTAGCGCAAGCCCGAGGAAAGCTGATCTGCATGGATTGGTTCGGCTGGGGGAGCAGGTGAGTTCCTTAGTCCCTGGAGAGTTGATCAAGGCTGAATGGAGAGGAAGGAACTTAGCT